AAGGAAGCCTGCTGAGTTGCTTGAAATATCTACATCTTAATTTGGATGGATTTGTACATTCTAGGGGCACCTGGGTGACTCAGTTGGTTAAGTGTTTGCCTTCGGGAGACACCTGGGTGGCTCAGATGGTTGGGCGTCTGCCTTCTGCTCGGGTCACGATATCCAGGTCCTGGGATCAAGCCCTGGTCAGGCTCTTGGCTCAGTGGGGAGTCTGTTTCTCCTTCTCCCTCTGCCTGCTTCTCCCCCAGCTTGTGTGCTCTCCGTCTCTCTCTCTCTCAAATGAATAAACAAAATCTTTAAAAACAAAAGAAAAAAAAAGCTTCTGCCCTCAGCTCAGGTCATGATCCAGTGTCCTGGGCTCCTGCCACATTGGGCTCCCTGCTCAGCGAGAGGCCTGTTTCTTCCTCTCCTCCCTACTCATGCTCTCTCTCAGTATCTGTCTCTCTCTCCCAGAAAAACAAAATCGTAAGGAAAAAAAAAAAAAAAGATTTGTGCATTCTATATGTGTATGTTATATCTCAGTAAAAAAGTAATATAAAATTCTCAGTACAGACTAGATATTAAGAGTCTTTATAAAATAAATAGATGTGTGAGTTGAGCTTTTCAACTTGGTTTCATTTATTTTACCAGTAATAGCTAGAAGTTTAGAAACTTCTTGATGTTAAATTGTGTACCCAAGGGACATACAAAATCTTAAAATACATCTTTTCAGAGTAATGTGGTTTAACTCTACCACAGAAAAAATACCATGGGTCTTATCAGTTTGTCAAGAAATACTATCAGAAATATTTCATACTGTCAGAAACGTATTTCATATTTCTGAAACACTCAACCCATGTAGACATTGGTATATACAGATATTTATTTATTTATTTATTTATTTGAGAGAAAGCACATGCATGCATGCAAGCAGGGGAAGGGGCAGAGGGAGAGAATCTTTAAGCAGAATCCCCACGGAGGATGGAGCCCAAAACAGACCTGGGGCTCAATACTATGACTGATGAGATCAAGACCTGAGCTAAAATCAAGAGTCAGAGGGCACCTGGGTGGCTCAGTGGATTAAAGCCTCTGCCTTCCACTCAGGTCATGATCTCAGGGTCCTGGGATCGAGCCCCGCATCTGGCTCTCTGCTCAGCGGGGAGCCTGCTTCCCTCCTCTCTCTCTGCCTGCCTCTCTGCCTACTTGATATCTCTGTCTGTCAAATAAATAAATAAAGTCTTAAAAATAAATAAATAAAAATAAATAAAATCAAGAGTCAGATGGTCAATCCACTGAGTCACCCCTGCAATCCAGTAAACATTTATTTTAATCAAATTAGAATTTATCCTCCCTTGTAAGTACCCAACTGGACATACCCTGTGGAGGGTACACGAGAGGCAGGCACCATCTCTGAAGCAGATTACAGTCTCTGTGTGCTTGCTTTTTGTGGAGGCCAGAGCACAGATTCAGTCTCTGCATCTCCTCCTAAGACCGGACCCATGTCAGCGTGGAAAGTGGGACAGATAAAATCTGTGTTACCCATTGAAATCTCTTGCAAAAACTTATTTCATTACTATGGGTTGACAAATGCCTTCAGTGCATCTGTGCATTACTCATCCAAGGTGCAAATCCAAAAGAATGGGAATGTCTGTTGTACATGTCAATTTCATGTTTATCACAACATCCTGATACTAATAAGTTTCACAGTTATTGAGCACCTTTGACATGCTAATCCTATAATAGCTTCATATTTGTAAACTTATTTAAATTAAATAATCACCCTGAGTCGTTATGCTTTAACTTGCTCTAGGTTCACAAGTATTCAGTGTCAGTGCTGGAATTAGAACACAACCTGATTCCAAAGTGCACTCTCTTCATCATTACCATATATAATTTTTTAGATACAGCCACTTTGGAAAACAGCGTGGAGATTCAAAATTGAGCTACCCTATGACCCGGCAATTACACTACTGGGTATTTACCCCAAAGATACAGATGTAGTGAAAAGAAGGGCCAGCTGTAGCCCAGTGTTAATAGCAGCAATGGCCACAATCACCAAACTGTGGAAAGAGCCAAGATGCCCTTCAACAGATGAGTGGATAAAGAAGACATGGTTCATATATACAATGGAATATTACTCAGCCATCAGAAAGGATGAATACCCAACTTTTGTATCAACATGGACAGGACTGGAGGAGATTATGCCGAGTGACATAAGTCAAGCAGAGTAAGTCAATTATCATACAGTTTCAGTTATTTGTAGAACATAAGGAATAACATGGAGGACATTAGGAGAAGGAAAGGTAAAGTGAAGGGGGTGGAAATCAGAGGAGGAGAAGAAGCATGAGAGACTGTGGACTCTGAGAAACAAACTGAGGGTTTTAGAGGGGAGGTCAGTGGGGGGATGGGTGAGCCTGCTGGTGGGTATTAAGGAAAGCATGGATTGCACTGGGTGTTATACGTAAACAATGAATCTTGGAACACTACATCAAAAACATAACACAATAAAAAATAAAAAATAATAAATTGAGATATAATTAACATATAATACTGTGTAAGTTTAACATGTACAATCTGTTGACTTGATACACTTATATAATGCAATATGATTATCACTACAGACTTAGCTAATAACTCTATCATGTCACACAATTATTATTTCTTTTTTGTGGTGGGAACAATTAAGATCTATTCTCTTACATTACCATATATTCTTAACCATTCAAGGCAAGAAATGATGGGAAGCTGTGCATCTGGAAGCAGATGATTGGGGCTATTTTGATAAGATTAGTGCAGTTAGATCATAGCAGACTGAGATGACATTTCAGGATCATGCAGAGGGCTTGAGCTACAGTTCCCTTCCCCAACAATATTACATTCTTATTACTTGCTGGCTTTCTTCTCTACTTATTCGGGTCACAAATAATGAGTGCATGACTCCTATGTACCAGGTTTCTCTATTTTGTGTAGGAAATGAGAAAATAAGTAAGACACAGCCTCTTCTGTATTTCTGGCATATATTGCCCTCTGTTTCTTCTTCCTGTTCATAATTTCATTCTGCATACTTTTGCATTAGTTCAAACTGTTGCTTACGGATGGGAGGTGACCTCAAAGTGACTTTTTAAAAGTCCAGACTCTTTGCCTTTTGGCATCAGTTAACAAGGGCCACAGCATCTGGATCCTACTTCTCAGTAAACTGCCTCTTCTGACAGCTCAGTGCAAGGTTTGTTTTTGTTTTAATTTGGGAGTGTTTCAAGTCTAACTTAGTTCCATCATTTACTTCCTGACAGCTTGATAACCAGGGAGCAATAACTCCCTTATCTGTGGGCTGTTTAATGATGCTATACTAGAGCCCTGGGAGCAATAGACTTAGGCCCTTTCCAGATGCCGTATTTTAAGACTTCCAGCTGGAAAAAACTTCACTATGTGAAATTTATTCGGATTACTTTAAGTCAAGATTTTGTCTTCTTATTTAAAAACAGCAACAACAACAACAACAAAAACTGACCTCTGGCTTGCTGCCTCCTGTATTTCTGGCTGCAGGCCATATGATATCTAATTTGCAGTTTTTCAGGCAGACAGAGGTTAGAAACAGGCAAACGTGGCCTCACCAGCAGATAAGTGTGTCAAGACTGTGACAGGAATTGTGAAGACCGCTATAGAAATTGCTTTTTTTTTTTGAAAGTCGCCTCCTGTTCTCCAAAGCATAGCTGTCTGTTCCTTTCTCTTGTCCTTCACCAGGTTCTCTTTGGGAGCTTGGGTCCAAGAGACACCAATCGGATACTCAGTTTCCTGTTTTTGTTGCCTACAGGTAATTATGCTAGAAGTCTGTAGTAGTAGATCTGATTATGCTTGAGTATATTATGCATTCTAGAGCAGAAGGTTTTTGCTGGAAAGCTTCACTGTCAGATACGATTTGCATTTTTTACTAGATACTTTTCTTTGGTCCTTGAGGACAAACATGTTAAGGACTCCTTTGTGCATAAACAGAATAGCAAAACACAAAACAGTCTATCTGTGGGCTTGAGTCTTTGTTAACAAGATTGGTAATGCTTTAAAAGAGGGCATGCCTTTGCTGCAGGGCCTGTACAGTTTGTGTTTGGAATGGTGAGGGTGTGGGAGCAGTGCGGAAACAAGACTTAGTGCAACTCCATCTATAATTAACAAAAATGCCAAGTCCTCAAATCAAATAGCAAGTATTGGAAATTGAAGTTATTACTCCTAATTTTTTTTTTAATGTTTTTATTGGTCTTTTTGAGACCCTTGCCCTGTTAATGCTGAGCAATGTTACTGGGTCTACTGAAAACCTGTCCTGTGGGTAATTGCATCTAAGTCCTCTCCTGCTTGGGAATTCAGGGGTTCAAGACAGAAAGATGGACTCCCGATACCAAAGGCTGGGTGCTGTTTGCCCTTCTAGGTCCGTGAAGAGTCTGGCAAGGGGCCTGGAACACCTCCCTCAGGCATGGCCGTCGCCAGTCGGTCAGTTTGATTTACGCGGCTCTGAGCTGCCCAGTTCCTGGCTGCTTTTGAAGGCTGCGGCCGGGTCGCTTGAGGCAACATGACGCGTGGGCGCTTGCGGGGGAAGGGCCGTGGGCACCTGGGTGACGGGTGCTAAGGCGGGTGAGGGCCAGGCCGCAGGGCCGGAAACCCCAGCATGGCACCGGCGCCTACAACGCTGCCCGCCCGGGCCCGCACGAAATCTCCCGGCGCGCTGCACGTCCGTTCGCAGAGGCCGGGCGGTCCGGCGTGCACTACGCCGGCCGACCGTGCGGGTGGCTAAGCGGGCGGAACGTGGCGCTCAGATATGAGGCGGGCAAGCCGGCGCCTCCGGATCCTCGGCGACTACCCTTTTATTCCAACTGCCTGGGACTCGGCCCCACGAATGGAAAGCAGCCCTCTAAATTCAACCCCGTAGAGTCGGCGCCAGCCAATAAAGTGCGCGGACTCTGGCCACGTGACAGTAGCGGGGCGGTGCTCTGGCGGCTCCGGGATCTCTATGGTTTTCGCGGCTCGCTAGAGGGCGTGTGGTCCACTGGAGGACTCCCTACATTCTTCCTCCATTACCTCACTGCCTCCGGTTGCTGCTGGGATACTGGAGGACTCGGGTCCCGGCTAGACTCAGTCCTCCAGCAGCCGGGGGAATACCTCTAGCAGTTCTTCCCTGCCGCCACCGCCGCCCCGCCGCTTCCTCCTCCGCCCGCCCGCCGGCCTTCTTCGCCCCGCCCCGTCCGCGCCGCGCGTCCGGCCCGCCCGCGGGCCCGCTTCTCTCGGGAGCCCCCACCTAGGCGCATGGCTCCATGAAGCAGGAGAAGAAGGCAGAGCGCGAGAGGTCCCGTCCACCCCAGCTGCGTCTGGGCCAGGAGAAAAGGTGGGAAACTCGGGCTGCGCCGCGCCCTCTTCCTCCTTCTTCCCCGCCGGGCCCGGCCTCCCTCGGGCTGCTGCCGCCGTGCCCGCCGGGCCTTCTCACCCCAGAGCGAGCGGAGGGGCCCGGAACGGGGTGTCTGGGGTCAGCGGCGGGGGTCCCGGGGCAGCGTGGGGGAGGGGCTGTCGGGTGGCGGGGGAAGAAGGCGAGCGGGGCCTGCGGGCCGCGTGTCCCCGCCGAGGGCAGGGGAGTCGGGAGGCATTGCTGGGGAGGGGTAGGCGGACGCCCCTGCCCTGGGCCGCGAGGTGAGGTGAGGCGAGGCCGGCGAGGCTCCAGCTCCTTTCTGCACTCCCTCCAGGAAACAGTCTCGGGTCTATGTAAAGTTTGGTGGTCTCCGGCGCCGCCTGGCGGCCCCCACCCACTGTCCCGCCGCCCCCTCCCCCGCCCGGCGTCTGGATTCCACCCCCGCGGCTCGGCCCTCGGTGCCCTACCCGTCGCTCTGGCGTCTTCCCAACTCCCCCCAGAGCCTCGTACTCTCTTTCCCCACCCCTTTTTTTCTTACCTTTCACCTTTCTCTCTGCGTGCTTTGCCCCTCCCTGCTCGGCCTCTCCTTGCCCACTCTCTCGTCCTTTTCTTGCCTAACTCTCTTTTCACGCGCACGCTTTTTCTCCTCTTCCTCTTCTCTTTTTTCCAAGCCCCACCCTCACTCTCTGCTTCCTTATCCACCCATAGCCCCATTTCCATTACCTCTCCACCTTAAACTCTTTGGGTTTTATGCCTCTCTCTCCTTTCCGGGCTGTGGGTTTTGCCCTTCATTCCTTGCCCTCCTCCCTTCGCTGTCCTGATCTGAACTCCTCACTTTGCCACACTCCCTTACCCTCATCCCTCTGGGCCTATCCTCTTTCAGTGCCCTCTCCTTGGATAGTGTGGGTGGGGCTTGGAGTCTCCTGTTTACATCTTTGGGAATAGCTTAATTCTCTACTACTGCGGGGTGGGGAGAGTTGTTGAAGAGATTATGAGGAGATTTATGCAAAACTAGTAGTAAGGATGGATGACTCTTACCAACAATTATCATGTCCACCTGGGGTGACAAGATGGCCTGTCCTCAGGACCCTAGCATGCTGTCCAGTAATTCTTCAACACCATCTTTGCAGAGGATTTGGGAATGTGCTTGTATTCTGAAACCAGTGGAGAGCCATGAAATGGTATATCTTGGCCTGAGAGCAAGTTTTGATCTAAATTAGTGGTGGAGAAGTTTTAATGTGTGTCTCATGTTCAGGTTCAATAAAACCTTTGATCCTCTGTGTCCTCCCTTCTTGGTGATGATGCTAAGGATGAGGTGATTCAGTGCATGGGACTGCCATTGCTACCTTATATTTAGATTTGGAAATGTTTTGAAGTAGGGAGACCTTGTTCCTAGCTGTTGTTTTCTTTTTCTTTTTTTTTCCCTAGAAATTGCTCAATGGAGTTGTAATTTTTCAAAAACGTATCTTACTTCTGGACTGCCTTGATTTTGTTCATTCACTGCATCTCCATTTCTGTCTTAGGTATAGGAAGAAGGAATGGAATCGGAAGGAAGAAAGTTCATTTCAGAGACAAAATAACTCCTCTCCTCTGTTATAGCTGTTCCCCTGGCAATACAAACTATCTGCTTTCAGTGAGTATTACCTTGGACATATTTAGAATGTTTAGAATTTGTTGCTATTGTCGGTTTTAGTCCTGTGCTAGGACATTAGGATGTAGGTTTACTTTCTCACTTGTATTTTTCTGCTTCCTTGAGAAGGTCTTAATACTAATGAATTTCGTTCTGCTTGCTCTCTTAAAGTAAATTCGTAAAGACAAGTTTATTTTCGGGCGCCTGGGTGGCTCAGTGGGTTAAGCCTCTGCTTTCGGCTCGGGTCATGATCTCAGGGTCCTGGGATCGAGCCCCGCATCCGGCTCTCTGCTCAGCGGGGAGCCTGCTTCCCCCTCTCTCTCTGCCTGCCTCTCTGCCTACTTGTGATCTCTGCCTGTCAAATAAATAAATAAAATCTTAAAAAAAAAAAAAAAAAAGACAAGTTTATTTTCCATAATCGCAGTAGAGTGACCTAGATAGTGATGTAGTATTATGCTTACTCTTTACGTTTTTAAAAGTACATAAAGTCTGGCTCCCTCCCTTCCCAAGTTACTAATTTTTAAGACAACCAAAGATCAAAACTCTGAGGTTAATGCAGTTCCTAATCAAGGTCAATTGTTGGGTCTCTTCCATATGGTTATAATCTTCAGAGATTTTTGGAACATTTTGCCCTAAATCTGCTATGGTGATACTATTTTCCAGAAAATTTTTTATTACAGCTGCATCCCCTTGAGTTTATTAAATGTGGTATGCTAACACTTGTAAGATAGTTTTTCACACTGCTTCACATCTTACTGGAGCCTTACAGTCCCTCTGTGAGGGAGACGGGACAAATATTTTCATTTTACAAATGAAAGAACCAAGGCCCAAAAATATCTGGCACTTTGCCATAGATCACACAGTAAAGGGAAAGGAATCTAAAAACAAAACTTCTGACTCCTGTGTTTTTCTTTAAGCTAAGTTGAAATAAGAATATATAGTTCTGTGCATTTTTGTAAATCTGTGTAAGTTTTAAAAGCAGTTATATAGGTAGATCTCTATTTTGCAGGATCACTCTCATCCTAAGATCAAGTGTATTTTGCGGGGAAATTTTTCAAACAGCAAGTATTTGGATATGTGTATGTGTGTATTTTGAGGTTTCAAAAATACAAAAGTGATAGTTTGAAATGATTACCAGAATGTGGGTTTTTCATCTGACTATTTCTTGAAATAGTTACATAACTAGGCCAGAATGACAGTTCAGGTGCCGTTTTCCTACTCATACAATATAATAAGTTGAATTTCGGTTCAACTCTTTATCACAGAGGAAACAACAACCCATTCCCTTCTGTATAAAGCTTGATTTGAACAGACATCTGGACACTAGGTAATAACAAGAAAAACCAGAGACTCCTTTTTTTCTTTGCCTCTTTCCTACCTCCCAGATCTATTTGTTAGAAGGTCATGCTTCCAAGTAAGTTGTTTTAAGCTTATCTTCAAATGGTGAATCTAGATTTTGTTTTTTCATCTCCAGGCTTTTCTAGACATTTTAATCTGGTTATTGTTTGAGATCTAACTACTTTGACACAGAGGTTCCATTAGTACTCCTATGTCAAGACTTCTACAATAAATAGACTATTTAGCAAGTTTCATCTTTTTTTAGTGTGTGTATGTAAGCTTAAGAGAGGACTCTGGTAGATTAGAAGTGTGGGCAACTCAGACAGCCCAGTATTCATTCTCTGTATTTTCTGGCATCTCACAGTGGACAGATCAGTGGATGATTTATTAGAAGCCATTGCTCTGCAAAGAGGAAAAGCATCAAGGTCATTAGAGTAATAATTTCATGTTAGTGATATGATCTTTTAGACTACAATGTAGTTCTTAAAGATTTTATTTATTTAACTACAAGGTAGTTGTTAATAGGATTTTGTTATGAGGGCATTTATTTCTCTAGAAATTTTAAGAATTTTAAGCTATTGTTCTTTGTAGTATACTCTACCATAGTGGTAGTGTTAATAATACTAGACACTGTGATAAATAATAGTTATGTGTTGAGGAATGCTAGATGCTTTTCATGGCTTATTCATTGAATGGTCACAGATCATCCTCTGTGGTATCAGGAGCCTAAGTCCATAGAGATATGACAACCCATCTGAGTTTGTGTAGCCAGTACGTGACAAGTCAGAGTTAGAATTTGAGCCTAGACTATAATCCCAGAGCCTAGGCTCTGTCCTCTGATGATGGGAGCTGCTCTGTGAAGATGTCAGTGAACTTGAGAAGCATGAGAGAGACCCGAAGCAAGGGAGGAAGGCCATCCTGCCCAGCTAGCCAGATCCATCGGGGTATCTTCACATCTTCCCCTCAATACTGGTCTCTATACCTTCTTTATAAACATTAGCAGTTTATGAGATACCATTTGTCCTAACTCCTGAAATAATAAATTATTTCCCAGACAAATAATATTCCAGTGCGTAGCTCTTAAAGCATCCCATCATTCAAAAAAAAAAAAAAATTCTCAAATACAGTTTTAGAAGCTGGGTATGGCCTGTCAAAGGAAGGCCTTGAGCAAATCTAAAGTGAAATACCACCCAGGGCTAAGTCCAGGACTGACCAGTGACTAGTGTGTTTTAGCAAAGAAAGCAGCTGTAAGCATAAATCAAACCAAGACATTAATTTAAGGGATATCTGATCTAATTTTTAGAATGAATCGGCCACATTGGGTATTCATTTAGCTATGAATTAAACCCTTCCTTGGTTTGGTCTGAATAGAGTTGACGTCAATAAGAATACATACTAGTAATTCAGTTTCCTTCAGCTTCTAACACACCTCACAGTCGGCACCTCACAGTAGATTCAAAGGTCTAAAGATTAGCTTGTGCCGTAAGCATTCTTTTTATAAAAAAGACAAACCAATGAAATAACTCGGAGATCTGTAGATAAGATTGTTGGCATGGAGGGCACCTGGGTGGCTCAGTGGGTTCAAGCCTCTGTCTTCAGCTTAGATCATGATCCCAGGTCCTGGGAACCAGCCACATTGGGCTCTCTGCTCAGCAGGGAACCTGCTTCCCTGTCTCTCTCTCTGCCTCTCTCTATGCCTACTTGTGATCTCTCTCTCTCTGTCAAATAAATAAATAAATAAAATCTTTAAAAAAATTAAAAAGATTGTTGGCATGTATACTATATGCAGGGCACTGTTGAAAAAGAAAACACAAAAAGACCACCCGGCCTCTGAGACTAAAGGTAATGAGTTCAGCACTGTCTGGAATTGAGGTGGCATGGTAAGTAAGCCACCCAGTGTGAAGCAACAGAGCACTGCTCAGGTTCCCTCACAGAGGGAAGAAGAGTTACCATCTTCTGTTGTGGACCCTAATGAAGGTCAAGACGCCTTGACTGTTGCATATCAGATAAAGGGTGTGGTGCCTTTTTCAACAGTAAACATGCTTCCCTATACTTGACACAGGTTAGGAGGTCCTGAAGGAAGAGGTAAACTGTGATTCCTGTTACTTCTTCAGCTTTTGTGGAAGTATGGGTGTTGTTTCCATCTGGTGGAAATCTAGTTTTAACTTGTTCATTCTCATTGCTTGGTCTAAAGTAGATAGGCAGTAGGAAAATGAAATCAATGCTGCTGGCTTTTTTATTTTTTATTATTTTTTAAAGATTTTTTATTTTATTTATTTATTTGACAGAGAGATCGCAAGTAGGCAGAGAGGCAGGCAGAGGGAGAGGGGAAAGCAGGCTTCCTGCTGAGCAGAGAGCCTGATGCGGGGCTCGATCCCAGGACCCTGAGATCATGACCCAAGCCAAAGGCAGAAGTTTAACCCACTGAGCCACCCAGGCACCCCATTGCTGGCTTTTTTAAAGTGGCCCTCAAGAAGCACCTGGGTGGCTCAGTGCATTAAGTGTCTGACTCTTGATTTTGGCTCAGGTCATGATCTCAGGGTCCTAGATGGAGCCCCATATCAGGCTCCATGCTTTGCATGGTGTCTGTTTGTCCCTCTCCCTCCACACCTCCCCTTGTATGTGTGTGCACACACTCTCAAATAAATAAAATCTTTTTTTAAAACAATGGCCCTTGAGGCACCTGGGTGGCTCAGTTGGTTAAGCACCTGCCTTGGGCTCAGGTCATGATTGCAGGTCCTGGGATTGAACCCTGCGTTGGGCTCCTTTCTGAGCGGGGAGCCCACTTCTCCCTCTCCCTCTTCTGCCGTTCCCCCTTCTTGTGCGCTCTCTCTGTCAAATAAAAAATATCTTAAAAAAAAAAAGAAATGGCCCTTGAGTTTAGCTTTGAAAGAATAAACCAGCTAAAGGCTTAAAAGGGTCTCAGTGATATATGTGTTTAAAAAGGTGGTTGATGTGTTCAGTGCTGTCTGGGATTGAGGTGGCATGGTAAGCCACCCAGCCCAGAGCAACAGAGGAAAGAAAAGTTTTTATATCCCATTCCAATTATTTCAGGCGAACCGACTTCATAGTATCCATTCAGGAACTCCTGTATCAAAGTACCATTGTTGGTAGTTTACATGAAGTTTGGGGGAAGGGTGAGAACAAATGCACATGCAGCTTTAGAAAAGGTCGAGTGCGTCATTAGGAGTAATTTGTTTTTAACTGGTTAGTCTGTTGTATTGAAATGCTGTTCTGAGTTCTGTTAGGCTGTACTCTCAGAAGCCCAGCTTTTGGAGAAACTAGTATCTCTTCGGTCATTGGAGGACAGTCCTGGGAGCTGAGTTGGGGACTGCTTTGTTGTGGTGAGATGGCTCACTTTGTTGGAGTAGGCTTAAAAGAACCTTAAAGGGAAAGTTACATTTTTGTTGTCGTTGTTTTGAGATTTCATTTGTCAGAGAGAAAGAGTGTACAAGCAGGGGAGCAGCAGGCAGAGTGAGAAGCAGGCTCCCTGCTGAGCAAGGAGCCCCATACAGGACCCATCCCAGGACCCTGCTCTCATGACCTGAGCCAAAGGCAGACACTTAACCAATTGAGCCATACAGGGGATCCCTCAAAGAGAAAGTTTTGATCAAATTGGGAGACAGGGTTGATAATCTGAATAAGTATTTACTAACCGCACTCTCATTTCCTTCATATTCTTCACCTGTAAGTCACTCATTATTTGCCTTAGGCCAACAGATAAGTAAAATATTGGCCTCCTTAAAAACATGTCTTCAGGGGCGCCTGGGTGGCTCAGTGGGTTAAAGCCTCTGCCTTCGGCTCAGGTCATGGTCTCAGGGTTCTGGGATCGAGCCCCACATTGGGCTCTCTGCTCAGCAGGGAGCCTGCTTCCTCCTCTTTCTCTCTCTGCATTCTCGTGATCTCTGTCAAATAAATGAATAAAATCTTTAAAAAAAAAAAAACCGTCTTCAGGGCGCTTGAGTGGGTCAGTCAGTTAAAGGACAGTCTACAGCTCAGGTCATAATCCTGGAGTCCCAGGATCGAGTCCCGCATCAGGTTGCCTGCAGAGTGGGGAGTCTGCTTCTCCCTCTCCCTCTACCTGACGCTCTGCCTACTTCTTGTGCTCGCTCTCTATCTATCTGTCAAATAAATAAAATCTTCAAAATTAATTAATTAATTAATTAAGTGGGGGCATGTCTTAAACCCCCTGCAAGGTAGAAAGTCAAGAGGCCAGTGACATCCACTTCAGACTAATGGCAGTGGCAGGGGCACTGATATTTTCAGGGTCGTGGCTTAAGATGTTGGCTTTGGGCATAGGTCATTATTTAGGCCATTTTGTTTTTTTATTTATTTTTAATTTGTTTAGTAATCTCAGTACCTAAAGTGGGGCTTGAACTCACAATTCTGAGATCAAGAGTTGCATGCTGTTCCAATTGAGCCACTCAGCGCCCCTCCTGCTCCGTTTTTATTGACAGGATTCTGTGAACTATTAAGTTAGTTTTAGTATACCCTTGAATATAATTCAGTGTAATTCAAGCCCTTGGGAAATGACTGAATCCAATGGATATTATTGGCAGGCCCCATCTTCTCTGTGACTTGGTGGAAGGACCCAGGCCTTGGAGGCTGACAGACTGTGGTCCAAATCCTAACTCTGCCACTTAGTGGCAGTTTGATTTGGGGCAAGTTATCTTGCTTCTTAAGCACAAGGTTCCTCCTCTGTGAGGTGATAGTAACATCGTCTGCCTTGCTGCATGGTTTCGAGGATTCAGTGTAATATTTAAAGCGTACCTGTTGAGAGCAAGCACTGATCTAAGTGCTAAGTATGTAACGGATTCCTGGCCCTCTAGGATTTCCATCCTAATGGGGCAGCAAAACATGAACCCAAGTGATAAGAGCAGCTAGATATATTGCCACCTACTAGGTACCAGGCACTGTTTCAAACACTTTATGCATATTAAACTAATTTAATTCTCCTAAAACCCCAAGAGGCAAGTAGGAAGTACTATTGTTATTCCCATACTGAGGAAACTGAGTCATAGAGAGCTTGATCCCGGAGGAATCAGAATTTGAACAGACCATTTGTCTCTGGAGGCAGCATTTTTAACCCATGACAGTTCTCCGTCTTTTAACAGTCTAAACAAGAAAGACAGCAACATCCACACTCAGAAACAAACTTGTCATTGGTGTGGGGGGTGGGGGTTATTAAGTACCTAAGGCTTTCTCAAAAAGAAACCTGTGTCAAGCCAGACATTGAAGTGTACAAATTATTATCCCTCAGCTACAAGCAATTTTCATCTCACTAAGAATTGCCCTAAGTACAAAAATAGTATTTTGTTATGGATCAGCATATATCAAGAACAAAAATAGGGGCGCCCGAGTGGCTAAGTCACTTAAGCGTCTGCCTTCAGCTCAGGTCATGATCCCAGGGTCCTGGGATCAAGTCCCACATCGTTCTCCCTGCTCATTGGACAACCTGCTCCTCCCTCTCCCCATGCTTGTGTGTTCCCTCCCTCTCTCTTTCTTCTCTCTCTGTCAAATAAATAAATAAAATCTTAAAAAAAAACAAAAACCTTGTGAATTTTTTTTATTTCATTCAGCCTAAAGTGACTTATTTGTGTAGAGATAATGCCTTTGCAGATGGACATGTAAATACCTAACTTGATGTAAAAGGTTGTAGAATTGAGGCGCCTGGGTGGCTCAGTGGGTTAAAGCCTCTGCCTTCAGCTCAGGTCATGATCCCAGGCTCCTGGGATCGAGCCCCGCATTGGGGCTCTCTGCTCAGCGGGGAGCCTGCTTCCTCTCTCTCTGCCTGTCTCTCAGCCTACTTGTGATCGCTGTCTGTCAAATAAATGAATAAAATCTTAAAAAAAAAAAAGTTGTAGAATTTACAACCAAAATACTATATTACAGAGCAGTGCGTAAAAAGGCAAATTATGTGGTTTTTTTTTTAAAGGCAATTATGTGTTATATGTCCAAATCACAGAGAGATTTAAGTGTGCTTTTCTCTCAAGTCAGCAGAATTTTACAAACTTTGGTATTATTGACATTGAAATAACTAGGATCTATTTTCCTGATTCTGTTGAATCAGAGAAAGAATATTGGTTGTGTTATAACTGTCCATTTTTACCTTAGGCTGTTTAAGAAAAAAAATTCAGTAAAAAAAAATTCCTTCCTGGGCGCCTGGGTGGCTCAGTGGTTAAAGCCTCTGCCTTCGGCTCAGGTCATGATCCCAGGGTCCTGGGATCGAGCCTCACATCGGCCTCTCTGCTCAGCAGGGAGCCTGCCTCCTCCTCCTCTCTCTCTGCTTGCCTCTCTGCCTACTTGTGATCTGTCTGTCAAATAAATTTAAAAAAAAATCTTAAAAAAAAATTAAAAAATGATTAATAAAAAAAATTCCTTCCTTTCATTTACATCATCAGATGGGGTGTTCTGGTTTCCTGGCCCATCCGCTACCACACATTGTTAAGCTGCATGCATCTGCCTTGCTGTGACAGGCTACCTCACAAAAGGCCTGTGAAGCTTGGGTCATTTGTGTGAATAAAGGTTCCTACTAGGTTGTAGCTTTTTTTGAATTGGGGTTTTGAAAGGATAGAAAGATGTGTAGACATTGGAGTGAGTTTAGAGAACCAAAGAAATTGAGCAAGGCATCGGAGAATGAGAGCTGTGAGGATAGAAAGGTGGGAGCCTTGTGTTGGAAAGTGTGCTCTTTTCAGAAAGGCAGCTAACTGCATTTCATATTCACTCGGGTCTAGGGCTGAAATCACAGATTTAGGTTAGTGATGAGTAAAATGCTGAAAGGATGTGGTTAACGAGGAGAAGCATGAAGATTCCTCTGGGGCTCTTTAAAAATAGGGTGGTCTAATTTGGAGGCCCTAAAAGGTAGAGAACTGCAGTGATGAAAAGTCTGACAGGTTTAGTGCTATCTTGCAATTTTTGAAATGTCCTTGTGCAGCTCCACAATGGCTGCCACCCGCCCGCCCTTCTACCCTAGGGAGTCCTGGGCAAGAGGGGTTGCTCGTTGCCTGCTTCCATCTGTAATGATCATAAGGCTTTATAGAAAAGGAAAAATAGTTCTTTAGGAAAAGGTAGACGTCCCTAGTCTGCAACTCAGGATCTCTTCCAGTCATGCTCGTCCACAGCCTTTTGTGATCTGGTGACTGGATGAGAAAAAGAATTTGGTGACTTTGTACATAGACGCTTTCTTTTTTATTTTTGTTTTCTCCTTTTAACTAACCTTTTGAATTAATGCGTAACTGTTCTCTTTTTGGTCAGGGTTCTGCAGCATTCCAGACCTCGAGCACTGAATCAGGATGGGAAAAAGACGTTGTGTTCCTCCACTTGAGCCCAAGTTGGCAGCAGGCTGTTGTGGGGTCAAGAAGCCCAAGTTATCTGGAAGTGGAACGCATAGTCACGGGAACCAGTCCACAACTGTCCCCGGCTCTAGTTCAGGACCTCTTCAAAACCACCAGCATGTGGATAGCAGCAGTGGTCGGGAGAATGTGTCGGACTTAACTCTGGGACCTGGAAATTCTCCCATTACACGAATGAATCCCGCATCGGGAGCGCTGAGCCCTCTTCCCCGGCCCAATGGAACTGCCAACACCACCAAGAATCTGGTGGTGACTGCAGAGATGTGCTGCTACTGCTTTGACGTCCTCTACTGTCACCTCTATGGCTTCCCACAGCCACGACTTCCTAGATTCACCAATGACCCCTAGTGAGTAAATCAGTCAGGTGCAGGGGACATTAAGAAAGCCATGATGCTGTCTTTCTTGGGTTGTTCTCTTGAGAGAGTCTGACACTTATAAAAAGCTTTAGTATCATGCAGGCAGAGGATAATGGGAGTAGGATAATGAGAAATGTCTAGACAATATCTAGAACAATACCTGGATTCAGTAACAGAAGAGGTCTAGGTTACACTTGGCAGAGGTCTAGGTTTGTTTTTAAGGTAAGGTTGTAGAAATTGGGATTTTCTTCTTGGTTCTTCTTTTAGTTTGTTGGTTTATATTGCAGTGGGTAGGTGATTCAACCTCTTGAGTGAAGATACCATACATAACATCATTGTGGACCCAGGTGTTGAAGTCCAAGTGAATTGGAAGTGTCTGAGGGCCAGGCTAGAGAATAGGAGCGCATTTAGTGGGAGCTATGATGCTCTTAATAAGAGTCCCCTCACTTTGTTCATCAGTAATCCCAGGGTGATCCCACATGGCTACTCACACCCCACCAAGAATGTCAGAATCTGCTTTACTGTTTTTACCTCAAGACTCCGTCATTTTTGTCCCGAACTGGTATCAGTGATTTAAACGAAGTATGTATAAAGTGAAGTAATGCATGCATGTGTTTTCTTCTTCCACAGAATTGGAAGTAACTCTGAGCCACCTGGCCTTCTTTCCTTCCTTTTCTTTTTTTTAATTTAAATTTTAGAGAGTTAACTTACAGTGCAATATTGTTTTCTGGAGTAGAATTCAATGTTTGATCATTTACATACAACCCCAGTGCTCATCATAACAAGTGCCCTTTTTTTTTTTTTTTAAGTTTTTTTTTTTTTTTTAGATTTTTTTTTTTTATTTGACAGAGAGAGCTCACAAGTAGGCAGAGAGAGAGAGAGAGAGAGAGAGAGAGAAGCAAGCTCCCCGCTGAGCAGAGAGCCCGATGCGGGACTCGATCCCAGGACCCTGAGATGACCTGAGCCGAAGGCAGCAGCTTAACCCACTGAGCCACCCAGGTGCCCCAAGATTTATTTATTTTTTATAGAGAGAGCGAGCATGTGAGCAGGGGGAGGTGCACACGGAGAGGGAGAGAGAATCTCAAACAGACTCCCCAAGCAGAGTCTGACATAGGGCTCAGTCTCACAACCCTGAGATCATGACCTGAGCCAAAACCAACAGTCCGATACTTAGCCACCTGAGCCACCCAGATTACCCTCCTTAATACCCATCACCCATAGGGACACCTTGGTTGGCTCAGTTGGTTAAGTGTCTACCTTCTGCTCAGGTCATGATCCATGTTTCTGGGATCAAGCTCCATGTCAGGCTTCCTGCTCAGTGGGGAGCCTGCTTCTCCCTCTCCCTCTGCCGCTCCCCGCTGCTTGTGCACACACTCTCTCTCTCTCTCTCTAATAAGTTTAAAAAAAAAAAATTTTAATACCATTTAAAAAAAAATTTTTTTTAACTTATGAGACACATTCTCCCATCCACCTCCATCCATCAACCTTTAGTTTGTTCTGTACCATTGAGTCTCTTACAGCTTGTTTCTCTCCTTTTTTTCCTCCCTTCCCCATATGCTCATGTTTTCTTTCTTAAATTCCACATATGAGTGAAATCATAATGGTATTTGTCTTTCTCTGACTGACTTATTTCACTTAGCATAATACACTCTAGCTCCAGCCACGTCATTACAAATGGCAAGATTTCGTTCTTTTTGATGACTGAGTAATATTCCATTGCATATAATATAATTCACGTCTTTATCCATTTGTTAGGGAACATTTGGGTTCTCTCCATACTTTGGCTTTTGTTGAGATAGATAGATGTGTGTGTGTGTCTGTATATATGATAGAAATTTTTTTAAGTTTTTTTTTTTTTAAAGATTATTTATTTATTTATTTATTTGACAGACAGAGAGCACAAGCAGGCAGAGAGAGAGGAGGGAAGCAGGCTCCCTGCTGAGCAGAGAGCCCAACATGGGACTCGATCCCAGGACCCCAGGATCATGACCCGAGCTGAAGGCAGAGGCTTTAACCCACTGAGCCACCCAGGCGCCCCTTAAGATTTTATTTTTAAGTAATCTCCATATGTAACTTGGGGCTGGAGCTCACAACCCTGAGATCAAGAGTCTGTTCCTCTGACCCATCCAGCCAGGTGCCCCTGAACTGGCTTTAAAAGAACACTGAAGAGATGCTTTTGGAGCATTCATTGACCTAAGATCACCCATTCATTCAGCTGTTAATGCCATATTGGAGCAAGCATAGCCCCACTGGTCAGGGAATGGAGAGGGTATGAAGAAAAAGTCCTCACTTTTGGGAGGCTTACCAAGTTGGCAAATCACACACACAAAGCTAAATAATGTGTTATGGCACACTGGACAGAAGTAGAGGGAAAGTTACTCCTGTGCGATAGTGTCAGAGGAAAGAATATGTAGAGAAATGTAACTTTTTAGGGACATATTTCCATGGGATACCATGGTCAGAAAATTCTTGACTGGAACAGGAGGAGATTCTAAGCCTTGATCCTTAATGGGATCAGGTGTATCCTACACAAGAGAGGGATGTGGACTTGGAAGAGTAGGTGTGGCTGCATTGTTGTAGGGAATGGGCTCTTGTATTCAGGGGTTTATATTTCCATCATGCAAACAGTGAAATTCTTGAGGGGTTTTGAGTGGGTTTGGGGACAAAAACTTTCGTGCTGTTCAGGTGTGTACTGGAAGGAAAAGATAGGCAGCAGATGTGCTTAGTAACAGTGACCAAAGTAGATAGCTTTAAAAATTTAAGTTGATTTTTTTGAAGTATTTTGCTCAGTCTGAGAAGTAAAGGCATAGGAGTACAGAGGAAATACCAGGATGAAGAGACAGCTCTGTAACCTGTTTATAAAAAATTCTGTTACCTCTAGTCTGATGTAGCTTGACAGTGACAACGCATGACTTTGGCCAAGAAATAGAAAGTGATAGCTTCTAAAAACAGGCTTTCTTGCAGAGACATTGTTTTTTTTCCCCCGAACATGTAAGAGCAGGACAAGGGGCAGAGATAATTAGGGGAGTAATGAGGGGGTTACAGGGAATGGGGGCAAGGTATGCAGGCCCAGTGTCAAGTAACTGGGGAACATGGACACTCCTAAAAATGGAGTAAAGAAAAGGAGAAAGACTTGGAAAATTAGAAGTTGAGTGCTGGCCAGAGGGAAAGGAAAGTAGCACAGACATGTCAAAGTGAATTAAAAGTATCAGCAAGGATCATAGGAAGGGCTGCATAGAGCTCCTTTCTTCACACTGTCTTACTGTGGTCTCCCCTCTCTCTCCATCCAGAGACTACACAGTCCCAGAAAGGCAGAGTCCTTCAGATAGCCACAACTCACAAAACAGTCCTTTTGGGGAATAACAGAAATGAATGGGGCAAAAGCAAAGGTTTTGTTACTACTCATGATTGATTTGGGGCTGGAGAATGTTTTTTGTTTTGCTTTTGTAGTCCGCTCTTTGTGACATGGAAGACAGGGCGGGACAAGCGGCTTCGTGGCTGCATTGGGACCTTCTCAGCCATGAATCTTCATTCAGGACTCAGGGAATACACGTTAACCAGGTAATGACACCAGACATAAGCTCTATAGATAAATTGGCTAGAATTGAAACAACTGCCTGACTTTATTTCTTCTAAATGGTAAAGTTTGAGTGTTCTCTTTTTGGTAATCAGGGTGTATGGGGGCTTTAATCTGGTGAGTCACTCAGCTGTTTGAGTGTAGACATTTAATAGCATCAAGTTATTTTTAGCATATTAGTGTGGATAGATAATCAATATTCTCTGCTTAGCTCAGGATTCATAAATTTTGGGGCACATAATGTTGGCTCTCGGCTCCAGAGCAGCCTCACTTATGTTTTCTGTCCCCTCCAGTGCACTTAAGGACAGCCGATTTCCCCCCTTGACCCGAGAGGAGCTGCCTAAACTTTTCTGCTCTGTCTCCCTCCTTACTAACTTTGAGGATGCCAGTGATTACCTGGACTGGGAGGTGAGAACAGCCGCATTTGGAACTCTGCATCTCTCGTTGCATTTGGGTTCGGGTTAGTACATGGTAATGTATCTCCTTTATTGAGAGAGGGTACAAGAATGTTAAAGCTCAGTTTGGAAGCAACTGGGGGCCACATAGGTGATAGGAAAGCTGCTGTGATCTTAGAAGTGGGAAGAAATGTGAAGTCTTTCTTTTCCTGTATCTTCCCAGTCCACTCCTATTCCATAGCCTTCTCCCACGTCTAATAGGATGTGATACTGGGGATAAAGAGCATTCAGGATCCCTCTTGTAAGCCCTTGAGTAAGAGTTGTGTGGAATCATGAGCCTAGATCAAAACCCTGTGGTATGTTTAATGGAATAGATTAAAGGTGGAATAGTTCAGATTATTGGATAAGTGGTTGAGAGAATTTATTTCTACAACCCTCATACCTGGAGAGCTGAAATTACTTTGGCTTCTATACCTGAGGCAAAGAGTTAGTCATGAAAAAGGAGCAGGTTCTCCTTTTCTCAGACTTGGATCGAGCTGGTCAGGGGACAGTGTCAATTAAACGTGGTTGCCTAAAGTTCCATTAGAGTAAGTAAGTGCTCTTTATTTGGTTATTTCTCCTGTAGGTAGGGGTCCATGGGATTCGAATTGAATTCATCAATGAAAAAGGCGTCAAACGTACAGCCACATACTTACCTGAGGTTGCTAAGGAACAAGGTGAGTTTTACAAATGGAATTTCAATGAAGGATACTATTCAGTGTCACCGTTTAAAGTTAGGAAAGTGGCATTTATTGTCAGCCCAACTGCAACAAAGAATGAGTGCCTTTCTTCCTCTTAGTGTCTTCTATCAAAGCTTTATAAAATGAGAAATAAACTCCCAAAATATTCAGGAGCTGGGGAAGAAAAGGGGTAAAGACTTCCCTTACCCTCTTGTTTTCCTTCCTCTCAGTGAAAAGTTTTATTCCTTGGCCCCCAAAACTAGAGGTAATTGTAGCAAAATTCCACCAATCAATTGGACCGTATTATAGAGTCCATTGTAAAGGGAAGTTGCCCATATCAGTGGGTTTTGAATTTTTTATCATTAATTATTAGACAGCGTTATACTTGTTAAAAGGCAAAACATAATCTTCTCTATATTTGGAAGAATACCTTTCAGTGTTGTTTGTATGCTCTGTGATATGTAACCCAGTTTCTTTTCTCTCTTCTCTTCATCCCTCCCACCTTCCCTTCCTCCTTTCCTGTCTGTTTTTGAAAATAACATGTAAAACACACAGTATTTATTGGGTATAAACCTGGAATAAAGAGAAATATCCAGTTCAGTTTATCAGTGAACTAATTATTTGGAGAGTGATTGCCTTATTGGTTTCCATCATAGTTGTGTTTAAACTTCAAAAGCAGTGTGGATGTGGCATAAAAAGGCAGCCTTTTAGCCTCTTTGAGGCTGTAAGTCTAACATTTTTGTACAAAAAGGGACACCATAAATACTTCCCAACAGTGAGAGGTGGCGGTAACAGATAATCAGACTACTTGTGCCTTTTGAAAATTTGTTGGCAAAATTTAAAAATCAGGTGTAATTTAGGGGCTTCTCTTTGGTTTTCAGTTTTGATGTGTTTGGTTTTATCTGTTAAAAACGTGCAGGAACAACACAATGATGTATGTGTGAACAACTTTCTTGTTCTTCGTGAAGGATTGGCATCCTTCCTGCTGTCAGTTCTCTGTAATAGATAACAGGACTCCTAGAAATCATCAAAGTAAAGGAAGGCCACACAAAGACATACAGGCTACAGAATTTGAATTCTCTCCTCTCACAGAACAGCCTTGGTTACCAGCACTAGACCAGCAGACCAGTCTTAAGTTGAGACCATGTTTGCTCCTAGATAATTATAGTGGGATCACATCTAACAAGAAAGACACAAGAGCAGGGGGCCTGGGGACAGCCATTATGGTGTTTGTCCAGTTATCATCTCATGTCTCCGATTCTACTTGGATGTCACTGAGGCAGACGGGAGCTCTAGGGATGTGGGGCCATTGTCCAGAGCTCTCCTTGACCCTAGCAGACCTGGCTGCTTCTCTTTTCTTGCCATTTGAGAACATACCCTACTCTTGTGTCATCGAGCACTGACCTCAGTGTGCCTCTCTTCTCCTCAGACTGGGATCAGATCCAGACAATAGACTCCTTGCTCAGGAAAGGTGGCTTTAAGGCTCCAATTACCAGTGAATTCAGAAAAACGATCAAACTTACCAGGTAACCCACTGTCTCATTTTCCTTGTCATTTTAATTTAGCTCGGGTTGGATGGAGGATACTTTTGATGGAAAGGACTAGGAAAAATTTTCTCTGCTAATGTCCCTCAACTAAAGAGATCTGGGTCAGGTTTAAGCTGGGAGGAAGCATGGCAGCAAAGGCAAAGACTTCCCAGCGTCCTGGGCATCTCTGAAGCTGAGTTGATGGCAGAGCTGGAGCAGAGTTCAGGCCACGATCAGGTGGTGGATGTCTTCGCCAGACCCACTGCTTGGGAGACTTAAGGGGGCAGACTGAGGTCAGGAATGAAGGCTGTCATCGCAGAGGTCCAGGGTCAGTTGAAGTCACATGCAGTCAGGTGGCAGGGGATACAGGTAGCATGTTAATAGTGAGAGTTTTCACAGAGAGTTACAAGGAAACACCCCTCTCGTTGGGGGAGGATGCGTCAGTGTAGTAGAATGCACACGGACTTGGAGTCTGAATCCCAGCTCCACCACTGCTTAACTGTGTGACACCTGGGCCAGTTACTTACTCTGCCTCTCTGAGGGGGGAGGGGGACTTTCTTGTATGTAAGAAGTGAATGATAATGCCTTGGGGTTGTTTTAGAGTGTGGTAAGGTAATGTATGAAGAATTTCTAGCCCAGGGCCAGGCAATAATTATAGGTGGTCAGTAGATGTCAGTTCTCTTGCCATCCCTACTGAAATCGGAAACACTGAGAGGTTTAGCTTCTGTGGGCTTCTGTGGGCCTCTGTTGGCCCCCTCATCTGTAAAATACTGAATAATCATATACTAACCTCACAGGTCTATTTGGAAGATAACCCAGTGTTTTTGAAATGCTTTGGATTCCAAAAAAAAAAAAAAAGAAAAAAACTTCAAATACAAAGCATTATTATTATTATTATTATTATAATTTATTTGAACAGCCATTTCCCTGTCAAAATTCAGGAATAATCACCTTGCAGTGGAGGAGTGATTACAGTGGGAAAGAGATGGCTCTGGGTAAGGATTGTCACACCCAGCTCCTGTGGTCTGTAGTAGGCTCCATAGGTTTGTAACACCCCATGCTTCGCATCCTGACTCATGGCTCTTTCCAGAGCAAAGCCAAAGTGCTATGAATTCTGTTCTGATGACCCTGTGATATGATATGGCATATTCATCTGGGAATTGAGACCCGTCCTATATAGCCCCAGGATCCTTTAACCTGCTTCATCAGAATTTGACCCAGAATTAGGTATCTGTGCCCCTTTTAGTTATAAATAACTTGTTTGTTGCTTTTCTGCAAATTGAGGTTGCATTTCTGTCAAATTTATCACATTTTATGCAGTAGATACGCAGTTTGCACTGGGCATTGGTATAGCCATCTTCCAGTCTGCCACCCGTGTAATTTGACCTTGACATTCTTCATCCAGACCCCAGTAGCAGATTGCTTAAGAGCAGCCTGATAAGTAGTGTTTAAAGGTGGGATGTGCAGAAAATACATTCTCAGGGGTGAATTGTGATTGTGCTTTTTCATCTTGTTCATTTGTAATAACAACATTGTTTTCTTGTGCTGTCTTTCATTTTCTGTAAGTAAGATTGCTCTTGGTCTTCCATTTTTATTCTTTCAAAATGTGGAATAAGCTTTTGGTTTTCTCTGCTGAGTGACTTTACAGAATGAAGAGTTTGAGGTTCCTAATACCCTTTCCTGTTTCCTTATACAGGTACCGAAGTGAGAAGGTGACAATCAGTTATGCAGAGTATATTGCTTCTCGACAGCACTGTTTCCAGAATGGCACTCTTCATGCCCCGCCCCTCTACAATCATTACTCCTGACACACGGCTGCATGACCAGTCCCACCCCCCTGTGGCCACCAATGGCTATGACATCATTGGAGCAGATGCCTCCTCTTCCTGGTCCAGTTACTTCTATTACTGCACCATTTTATGATGCTAGCTTCCGTTGCCAAGTCTGCCTCCAGCTGACTGAGGGGGGGTGGGGTTATACTGAATGAAACAGAACTTGAGGGGCCCAAGCCTTATCTCAGCCTTTCCTCAATATGGGGTTCCGTTGGATTGGGGCTCCTCCATGACTAGTGAGAATTACTGTGTGGGTTCAGAAGATCCTTGGCATGCAGGTGCCACTGCTGATTGCTGCCTCTGTGTTGGCCACACAGTGGAAGCCGGAATTGGTGGTTCATGAAGTCTTACCCCACACACACCCCTATAGCCTCCCCAGATCAAGTAGGTGTATTCCCATGGCAGTCTGGGCAACGGAGACCAACAAGAAACATTTTTAGGTTGTTTTAAATTCCTTTTTTAAACTTCCAGTTTATTGCGTACCAAGAGTTGATCACAACCTCCATGCTTCATAAGTGGACGCCATGTTAGGGTTGAACGTGGGCACCATGAGTCCTCTGAGGCTCCTGGACAGAGACCCACATCAAGATCGGAAGCCCTTTGGATGGCGTTGCAGATCTCATTGCTCAATTAGCCTCGAAGGTTTTAATTCTCATCCCACTCTCAGCTGGATTTTCTGGCACTCTTCCTGCATTGAGTCTCCTGGTATTGAACAGAGCTCTGTGGTGTAGCCTGCTGAGGACTGGACTGGGATGCCCTTGGGAGGTCCTGAAATCATCGCTGTATGCAGTGAGAAAGGAGAGACCTCTTCCTTACCACCTGGCTACCTCACTCCTCTACTGGTAGCAGTGCCTATAGCTGGATCTAGGTTCTCAGAAGGCATAGGTTTTCCAACAAGCACCTGGGTTGGGCTTTAGAAGGACACATTGTCATAGGAGAGAATCCAGGGTCTCCAAGCTGTTTTTCTTTTCAGGCAAACATCCTGAGGGACCTTTAAGTAGAGGAGTTCCTTTGTCTAGTTTGCCTGGAGAAGTGGGAAGACTGTTGCTGTTTCAGTCCTTTCCAGGACTTTAGAACAAAGCAGTGTAATTAAACAAGATGAATCTTTATCTTGCCTGACATGCTGGGAATCTTCACCCCACCGTGGCAAAGTTCCAAATAGCTCATTTTATTCTAGGTCATTCAGACTTTCATGTGGCATATTTCCCCTCCCCGTTGTTGCTGACTCCAAATAGCTGTCAGCAGGTTTCTCCTCCCTCTTGCCTATTCCTCCCTCATTTGGTGGCAGAGTTCATAGAAGCTGGGGACTTGGAAAATGCTTTGGAAACGTCACAGAGGCACTGCTGAAAAGATTCACAGGAAGAGGTGGCCAATTGGAAGAAAGGACCTGGAGGGTGATACAGTGGTTTTCAACAACATGCTTAGAGAACTCTTGAAGTGGATTGGGTGTCAATCCGGTGAACACCATTGTTTTGATTTAATTTATTTTTTAAAGTTTATGTGGTGATGGTGTGGCTTTCCAAAATGGGCAAATATCCAAATCAAAAGAAATTTTTGAGTTTTCTTCTGCCAGAAATGGGGGAGGGGAAGCAGGGACATAATCCAAGAAACGACACACTTGCCATTCTAGGTATTGCTGTCTCATTTCTTGGAAGAAATGGATGAGGGTGAGCAGATTTGCTTGGTACCATCCTCTGCTGTTCATGAGGATATGTAATGTGCAAGGGAAGTGGGCTGACTTCAGGATGCCCGAGTCAGGCTGCACCACCCTATCTTAACTGTTGTGCTGCGTTCTTGCATCCTGCCACTTTTCCCTTGCAAGGTTAATGAAAGAAAGCTTTTGAAGATGAAGGGATTGTTTCGTGATTTCCTGCTGCTGAGAATAATAAATGTCTTGTTAACAAACAAATGTGACGATAGTTACTCTTAGGTGCCATGGATTGATGGTCAGGGTGGTCAGCTCTGGACTAAACCACCCACCTCCAATTTGTACAACAGTATTGATACATAGGGCTACACTCATTACTGTTCAAGTGTTCTGTGTTAAAAGTTGTGTTTAATTTCTAAAGATTAAAAAAAGCAAAAAAATTGGTGCTAAACTTTCACCCCTGAGCACGCTCAGTGAGACTGGTCATGCAAGCATTTACTACAGTGCCATGCTCTTCAAGCCTATTTTTTCTTGTAGAAATGTTGCCCTATTTGTCTTCCCCAATGTATAGTATGTTTTTTATTTTATTTTATTGAGGGTGGGGTAGGATACCTGCCATTTAAGAAATGAACAGAAAAATTTAAAACCCACGAAATGGGGAAAAAAAAATCAGTGCACAAGAATTGGGCTGATTAAGCCCAGCACCACACTGAAGTGGGCTCAGTGGTTTTGGAGTGAAGAAGCCTTACTCCCTGCACATTCCCTCATGCTCCCATACAAGTCCAGCAGTGGAGACGCTCAAGTCCCTCTGGTCTGGTCAGGGGGACCCAGGAGTCGACCAAGTAAAACTATTTGGCCCCGTAAGAAATGCCACTGTCAGTGTCTCTCCTGAATGGGGCTTAGGAAGCGGTCTGAAAGTGTATGGTCATGGTCACCTCATGAAGATGTGTGGCAGGTGGCTCTCAGGAAAAATACTAAGTCTGGATCATCCATGTGGCAGCTTTGCATAGGGAGATGATGGCTCCGAACTGGAACTGAACTGCCTTCCACGCGCTTGACCAAAGCAGTGATGAGGGTGGCCAGTACATGTGGTGTGAGTGGCAGGTGTAAAAAGAAGGGAATGTTTTCTGCTTGGTGTTTACTTTGTCCTTGGGCTGCTCAAGCTGAACAGTAGGTAACTGCTGTTAAGGAACCAGCCCATGTTGGCTGGTTCAGTTCGGAGTTCGTTTCATCCCTAGCTGTGAGTGCCTTTTGGTCTGGAAAGTTGGCTTGTCTCATAATACCCACAGCTAGGACATTCTCTCTGTAATTATGAATTGTCCTTGTTTTATGTTAAAGAGAATGTCTTTGATCACTAGGATTTGTCGGTGTTGGATTGTTTCCACTGTGAGGTTCTTAAACTTTTTCGCTTCATAATATTAAAGTAACTCATGTTAGAGAACCTTTCAACGTGAAAGGTTTGTAGTTGAGACATTACATATATTTTATTGTTTATAATAAAAATCATCTATACAGAAGTCCTGGGTGTTAATTTTAATATTTGCACAAGACCTGTTTTCCATGATATGTTAACACCTACACTTTCACTAACTGTTGATGCTATTTTCTATTGAGATTCTGGAGCCTAGGGAGCTATGTGTTTTGTTTTGTTTATTTTCATTCTTACTTCCCTGAAGCAAGAGAATTTATATGGCCTTCAGTGCAAAGACTTCAGACCAATTCTTTGTATTACACTTGGTTGCCTCTTGGCTATATAACTTCTGAGTGCAAATCATTGAACTCTTTAACGAAGTATTGTAGAAAATAAATCATAATGGGTAAAAATTGTCTTTGTCCTTCTTTTTTTTTTTTGGAATAGTGGCAAGAATATTTTTAAGTTTATTTCAGTAATCACCCAACGAGGGTCTTGTACTCAAAACCGCAAGACCCAAGAGTCACACCAGTGTGTAGAGGAGTCTCCAGCTGAGTCAGCCAGGCATCCCTCACAGTCATCTTTCTTTTTTTTTTTTCTTTTTGAAGATTTTGTTTATTAAAGTGCACACAAGCAAGGGGAGCAGCGGGGGAGTGGGGGGTAACAGGCTTGATCCCAGGACTCCAGGATTATGACCTAAACCTTAGGCAGACACTTAACTGACTGAGCCACCCAGACACCCCATCATCTTTTTTTTTTTTCCTATCGTGCTGTATGACCTTTAATTAGGTATAAAAAGACTTCCAATCACGTCACCTAGGGACCATTCTACCCACTGCTCTCTTTGGCCGCCAGTCTCTTGTCTCTCTCTTCAGCAATGGTGAGGCGGATACCCTTTCCGTGGGGAAGAGAAATCCATGGTTTGTTGCCTTTGCCAATAACAAAAATGTTGGACAGTCGGGTGGCAAAGCTGTTGCCATTGGCATCTTTCACGTGAACCACATCAAACGAACCAGGGTGTCTCTCTCTCTTGGTGATCACATCAATTCTTCCCAGGTTAGCACCCCCAGTCACCATACACAGATTACCAGTGTCAAACTTGATGAAATCAGTAATCTTTCCGGTTTCCAAATCAATCCTAATGGTGTCATTGACCTTGATGAGGGGATCAGGATAGCGGATGGTGCGAGCATCGTGAGTCACCAGATGGGGCATTCCTTTTGTCCCCACAAAGATCTTTCTCACTTTGCACAACTTGTACTTGGCCTCCTCAAGTGTAATCCGATGAAGAGCAAAGCAACCCTTGGTATCCTAGATCAGACGGAAATTCTCTCCGATCTTGTCAATGCTGATGACATCCATAAAACCAGTAGGGTAGGTTATATCAGTTCGGACCTTGCCATCAATCTTAATAAAACGCTGCATACAGATCTTCTTTACTTCATCTCCTGTTAGGGCATACTTAAGTCTGTTCCTTAAGAAAATGATGAGAGGAAGATACTCTCTCAGCTTATAGGGACCAGTAGATGGGCGAGGAGCGGACACACCAGTCAGTTTATCCAGCATCCAATGCTTTGGAGCTGCTACACGCTTCAGATGTTTCTTGGGACCACGAACCATGGCTGCGCTAGGAACGAAAAGAGCCCATCATCTTATTTTTGAAGATAGCCACCCAGATGCTGTTTTTAGTCAGGCTGTGTGTTTTGCATGGTGTCCATGATCCTCAACGGTTTGGGTTTTTTGTGGTTTTTTTTGCCCTTGTATTTTTTGTGTGGTTGGTAGCAATGCCACTGGCCTTTTAGAACCAAATTTCCTAAACTGAGTTCATGTACCCTTTAAAATTTGGGTCTTTATAGAAAGAAGGTTCATCGTTCCCTTTAGATTTCCCTTTGAAACTGACCTTGTCCAAAAAGCTAAAAAACAAGTGGGGGTTGGGGGTGGGGAAGGTTGCTCAAATTGAAGATCTTGTTTGGTAATGAATTAATCCAACAAAAGACCCCAAGACATACTGGTATGGTCTAACCTTAAAGGGAAATGTTTATTTTGGAGGGCCCAGAAAGGATGAGATGGGTTTGAAGAAAATGGCCCAGAATAATTTTTCAAACAAATGCACACATGCTGCAATTGTCAGTCTTAAGTTTAAATCTTTATTTGCAAGGATGTTATTTGTTTAAGATACCCAGTTCTGAGGCCCTTACACTTGGCAGAACTCCTAAGCCTATGGCTATAGGTATCCATGCTGTTGGGGTTAGATAATTTGGAAACAGACAAGCAACTGTTTAAACGCAGAATTTGGTGGTAACACTGGGGTGTCTGAGAAGGATTTTCTGTGTATTTGGGTTTTTTTTAAGATTTATTGAGAGGGACGCCTGGGTGGCTTAGTCTGCCTTTGGCTCAGGGCATGATCCCAGGGGCCCGGGAAGCCTGCTTCTCCCTCTCCCACTCCCTCTGCTTGTGTTCCCTCTCTCTGTGTGTCTCTCTCTGCCAAATAAAATCTTTAAAAAAAAAAAAAAGATTTATTGAGAGAGAGCAGAGGGAAGGGGCAGAGGAAGAGAGAGAGTCAGACTCTGCTAAGTGTGGAGCCTGACGTGGGGCTCATGATAAGACTGGGACCACCAGCTGAGCTGAAACCAAGAGTGGACGCTTAACTGACTGCACCACCCAGGCACCCCAGATTCTCTGTTTCTTAAAGAGAAGAGAAATTTTGGTTCTAGAAATTACTGTTCCATATTATCGTATTGCTTGCAGTTAAATAGCATGGAATTTCATATCATTGGGTTTTTTGTGGGGTTTTTTTGTTGATTTTGTTTGTGTGTGCGTGCACACACGCTGGTGGTGGTAAGATGTGTATAACCAAAAATTTGCCATTTTTTACATTTTTTAAGATTGTATTTATTTGAGAGAGAGCACATACAAAGGGAGAGGGCAAAGCAGACTCCCCACTGAGCAGGAAGCCCAATCCATATCCCAGGACCCCAGGATCATGACCTGAGCAGAAGGCAGACACTTAACTGACTGAGCCACCAACGTGCCCCTAAAAATGTGCCATTTTAACCATGTGAACTAAGCCAGCTGGTCAGAGATGAGTGGAGTTAATTCTGGGGGTAAGGGAGATGCTCTAAAGCTGCTTCCAGATCAATCTAGGGGCTGACCTTGGCTTGAATACCTGGATTTGAGATACTATTTGGTGAGCTCCTTGAAGGACTTGACTCTGAACCACACTGTACAAAGAACCATAGTAGTGTCCTGAGGAATGCACTACAAGTGCTGTCTCTTCTGAGTCTGTTTTCCTTATTCTAAAATGAAGCTCTAACCAGGATTCTGGGATCTCTTCCGGCTCCTTGCTCTCTGATGCTTGAGGTTCTGTATGCTAGAGCAAATGGGAAAACAAGTGACTCTTCCAGCTTCAAGACTATACCTATTGCTGGGGGAACTAAACAGGAAAGAGGTCCCAAATTTACCATGAGCCATTCAAGTTCCTGCTGCCAAACTGACCTCCCACCTACTACCCCAATATGGCCATTCTTTCTTTCTTTCTTTTTTTTTAAGATTTTATCCATTTTTATTTGATGGACAGAGACCACAAGTAGGCAGAGAGCCAGGCAGAGAGAGAGAGAGAGGAGGAAGCAGGCTCCCCGCTGAACAGAGAGCCCGATGTGGGGCTAGATCCCAGGAACCTGGGATCATGACCTGAGCCGAAGGCAGAGGCTTTAACCCATTGAGCCACCCAGGCACCCCAGCCATTCTTTCTTTGATCCCACCCTGGTTCCTGATGAAAGAAACTCAGGATGCTGATCCTGGAATCTTTAGGCTGGCGGTCTGATAGGCCTGAACTCCAATCTCGGTCCTGCTGTTTATGAACCAGATAACTAGTTAATACTCTGAGCCAAATGTTCTGCTTTATGACAGGACTGAAACTCCAAGGTAGCCTGCTGGAAAGGCTTTGCCTCCAGGCTCAAGCACACTGTTGCAATGACTGGATGACTGACTCTCTGGACTGTTAACCAGTGACACATGTAGGTGGGGACAACTGGGCAAGTATTCAAACCCTCTCAGAACCCTAAGCTACTCTGGACATGTGAAAGGAGGAAGTTTAACTATCCTCAGCTCTTTAAGTAAGGACAGACTTTCTGAAAGAGGTGGTTGCTGAAGTAAGCCCAGCTTGACCTCAAGAAGAGAGGGCTTTTCAGGTAGAATCTAACAGTGCCAGTACAGGGCTCACTGCCCTGTCACATTGCCACAGGCCAGACAAGCTTTAGAACCCAAGAGTGGGACTTCAGGGCAGCCCCTTCAAGTTTTCATACCTGGAAGTCAAGGGCTGTTGGCAGAATCACACAACCTCCTACCATCCCCGTATATCCCCTTCCTTTCTATCTCTAGAGATTGTATTAATAGTAAAAGGGAGAGGGTTACACATTTATTCCTTTGACTTCCTCGGTAGCACTTACCAGCCAACTTCCTTCCAGCAGCAGGTGTCAAGAATTTTTTTTTTAATTTATGAGAGAATAGCTTAAATTGGGAGATTCTGTACCTTAACTTTTTAAAAAAGATTTTTATTTATTTATTTGACAGAGAGAGACAGTGAGAGAGGGAACACAAGCAGAGGGAGTGGGAGAGGGAAAAGCAGGCTTCCCACTGAGCGGGGAGCCCCATGCAGGGCTCCATCCCAGGACTCTGGGATCACAACCTGAGCCAAAGGCAGATGCCCAATGCCTGAGCCCCCCAGGCACCCCTGTACATTAACTTTCAGTGTACATAGAACTGGGAAACATCATACTATATTAGGGGCAGAAACCTGGGTCCAGGAAAGACATTAATGATTCAGTCCATAAGAGATTCTTCGATGGGGTGCCTGGGTGGCTCAGTGGTTTAAGCCTCTGCCTTCGGCTCAGGTCATGATCTCAGGGTCCTGGGATGGAGCCCCACATCGGGCTCTCTGCTCCGCGGAGAGCCTGTTTCCTCCTCTCTCTCTCTCTGCCTGCCACTCTGCCTACTTGTGATCTCTATCTGTCAAATAAATAAATAAAATCTTTAAAAAAAAAAAAAAGATTCATCGAGAAGTACACCAAAAGGTAACAAAAGGTGTAAATCATTACTTGGGTTGAAAAATGATAAAGGGGCACCTGGATGTCTCAGTCGGTTAAGTGTCTGTCTTCAGCTTGGATCATGATCCTGGGGTCCTGAGATCAAGCCCCACATTAGGCTCCCTGCTCAGTGGCGGGGATGGGGAGGGTTTCTTTCTTCCTCTCCTTCTGCTCCTCCCCCCTCATGCTCTGTCTCTAGCTCTGCTCTTTCTCTCTCAAAGAAATATAAATCCTTTTTTTTTTTTTTAGATTTTATTTATTTATCTGAGAGAGCGAATGAGCGAGAGCACAATCGAGGGGAGGAGCAGAGGGAGAGGGAGAAGCGGACTCTGCAGAACAGGGAGCTCGATGCAAACTCAATCCCAGAACCCCAGGATCGTGACCTGAGCTGAAGGCAGACGCTTAATGTACTGGGCCACCCAGCGTCCCTATATAAAAATCTTTAAAAAAAATTTTAAGGGGTGCCTGGGTGGCTCAGTGGGTTAAAGCCTCTGCCTTCGGCTCAGGTCATGATCCCAGGGTCCTGGGATCAAATTCTGCATCAGGTTCCCCCTATGCTTGTACTCTCTCTTTGACAAATAAATAAAATCTTGTAAAAAAAAATTTTTCAGCGGCACCTGGGTGGCTCAGTTGGTTGGGCAACTGCCTTCGGCTCATGTCATGATCCCAGAGTCCTGGGATCCAGTCCCACGTCAGGCTCCCAGCTCCATTGGGAGTCTGCTTCTCCCTCTGACCTCTCCTCTCATGCTCTCTCACTCTGTCTCTCTCGGTCTAATAAATAAGTAAAATCTTTAAAAAAATTTTTTTAAGAAAAAACGATGTAGTAACTATAAAATATTTATTACAGCAAACATTTGTTTGTATAAGTTCTGTATAATTCCTGGTTCTCTTCATTTCCTGAGGATGATATAATGAAAATGACATTTAAGGAAACTGAAATATGAAGTTACCTTAAAGAGTAAATATTCCTCGTATGTACCTGATAATTTCATTTATGTTATGCCTCTCCCATGTCCGTTTGATTAAATGAAAGAGCCGTTCCAAGCCAGCCCCCGCTCCTCAGATCTCTTATGACACCTACACCCAACCAGAAGTGACTTTTTTCTCTATGGATCCTTCCGTAGTATTTTCTTCGACTTTCTATTTTCTTTAACCACTTGCCTCTTTCTTTTATTATGAAAAATAAGTCCAGATCTTGCATCCGCTACTTTTGGTGATCTCTTTGTAAGGACAGATTTAGTCTGAGTCATATTTTTAACCCCAGGGCTTTGCACATAAGTGTTTATAATGGTTTCCTGAATGAAAATGTTATGGACAAACCACCTTGTGAAACATCCCTCTGAATTATTTTTCTTTCTTCTACATCTGTTGATTTCTTCCCTACTGTGTGTGTGTAGAAGATACCAAGTGTTGGGTATCCAGCTAGTCCTTGAGGCAGCACATGGTAAGTTCCAGTAGGTATCAGGTGTTCTGTAAGGGCCTGTTGAATGGATAGATGGGAAAAGGAGGTCTACACTGTGTTCCAGGTCTATTTCTCACACCCAGCTTCTGCATGTCCCCAGACTCCTCATTAGGACTTCCATCCTATGCCTCTAATGAACTATGTAGGAAACCGCTTTGAAACAGTTATTAAGTTCTGCCTATGCTATATAACCTATTATTTTACCCAATACCTTTCTTCTGGTAATACAGAAACAGCAAATTAATTTTGTTAAGAATTATTATATTTATAAATCAAAAGAGTATAGGTACATACATATTCTTGTCCGGTAATTTTTTTTTTTTTGTAAACATAGTTTATTTATTTTATTATTATTATTTTTTAAAGATTTTATTTATTTATTTGACAGACAGAGATCACAAGTAGGCAGAGAAGCAGGCAGAGAGAAGGGGAAGCAGGCTCCCTGCTGAGCAGAGAGCCCGATGCGGGACTCGATCCCAGGACCCCGAGATCATGACCCGAGCCGAAGGCAGAGGCTTAACCCACTGAGCCACCCAGGCGTCCCTGTAAACATAGTTTAAATCATACCTAGGTGGGGGCGCCTGGGTGGCTCAGTGGGTTAAAGCCTCTGCTTTCAGCTCAGGTCATGATCCCAGAGTCCTCCGATGGATCGAGCCCCGCATCAGGCTCTCTGCTCAGCAGAGAGCCTGCTTCCACCTCTCTCTCCCTGCCTGCCTCTCTGCCTACTTGTGTTCTCTGTGTGTCAAATAAATAAATAAAATATTTTTTAAAAATGATACCTAAATATCGTTCACCACAGAGACAACGCACTGATTACTTCTTTGTTGCAATCTTCTATATTCTCTGAAGTTGAAAACAGCATCGTTTTTCATCTGCCTACTTTTCTATGTATCATCCAAATGTTCCAACAAAGGCCTCTCAGCATCACTTTCCACGCGTTCAGAAGTATCAGAATAATCCACCACCAATGTTTTAAAAGATTTTATTTTTAACCTCTACACTTAATGTGGGACTCAACCGACTAAACTAGACAGCCACCCCAATCAAATTTTTTAAATATTTAAGCGTTGAAAGAAATTCCACCATGTGATTTTGGAGTCACTAGCCCAGCTTTCCATCCACGGGAGTTCCTAAGATCAGTCAGTCACTCTGCGCGTTTCCGCATTTCATCTAAACCTTCCCCGGCCTCACGACACTTCAGAGGTGAGGAAGCCGAGGCTCAGAAAGGCCAAATGACCAGAGCCACCACGCGCGACAAGAAGATTTTCGTTGCCCCCAGAAAGCTCCACAACTCCATCGCCTCACTTGTCTTGGGCTTCCCAGAGGGCCACGCCCCTCCCACCAGTCTCCATTCCGGACCCGCCCACCGAGCCCTCTTCGGCCACGCCCCTTCCGTGGCAGAGACCCGCGCTTCTGCGCTTCCGGCGCGTTGGTACTTCCGCTTGTGCGGGTGGTTCCGGGCGCGTTAAGGTCTGGCGTGGTGTGGCGATGGCGGCCGGTGGGAGCGACCCGCGTGCCGGCGACGTGGAGGAGGATGCCTCACAGCTTATCTTCCCCAAAGGTGGGGCTGGGACTGCAGGACTGCCTCCGCTGTCCTGCGTGATCGCCGCAGGCCTGGCGTTGCCCATGTGTCGTCCTAGGCGGGCAGCCGGGCGGGTCGCCGGCGCGGAGAGGGGCAGGGAGGATGGGGGATGCGGCGGTGAGAGGGGCCGCGGGCGGGCACCGCCGGGGTGCCTCGAGAGGGGCCTGTTGGATTCCACGCCTGCTACCCTGGAAACTTCGGCGCCCAGCTCCACACTGCCCTTGAGCAGCCTCTTCCTACTTTTTTAAGTAATTTATTGTATCTCATAAACCGCGAAGTGCTGCAGGGATGTGGAAAGGATGAACAAAGCCGACAGTAGTTACAGTGGTAAGGACAGATTTTAATAAGTAATACACGATTGTAGGGGCCACTGGCTGGCTCAATCCGTAGAGCATGCTAGTCTTTCTCTTTATTCTTCTTCTTCTTTTTTTTTTAAACATTTAACTTATTTTGAGAGCGAGCGAGCATGGGAGCGGGCGGTGGGGGGAGCGGGGGCCACGGAGAGGCGTGAGGCAGAGGGAGAGGGCCCAGGGACGCAGGACGCTGATGTGACTTGTGCCGAAGACCGGCGCTTAACGCCGGAGCCACCGAGACAACCTAGCCTGCTGGTCTTGATCTCAGGATCATGAGCCTGGGCACCGAGCCTGCTTTCTTTCTTTTTTTTTTAGATTTTTATTTATTTATTTGACAGAGATCACAAGTAGGCAGAGAGAGAGGGGGGGAAGCAGGCTCCCTGCTGAGCAGAGAGCCCGATGCGCAGCTCGATCCCAGAACCCTGGGATCATGTCCTGAACCGAAGGCAGAGGCCTTAACCCACTGAGCCATCCAGGCGCCCCCCGAGCCTGCTTTAAAAAAAAAAAAAAAAAAAAAAAAAAGATACTACACCATAGCAGTAGGGAAAGAGGCCAGCGTGTACTGAACTAAATTTCTTTTTTTTTTTAAATTAAATTAAATTTTATGTATTTATTTGACAGAGACATCACGAGCAAGGGAACACAGGGCAACGGGAGAGGGAGAAGCAGGCTTGTCGCTTAGCAGGGAGCCGGATGGGGGCTCTATCCCAGGACCCTGGGATCATGACCTGAGCGGAAAGCAGTCACTTAACCAACCCAGCCACCTGGGAGCTCCTGAGCTCAATTTCTATTTGTAGAGAGGAGACTGGGCGTTTTAAAGGGGGAGTGGAGGGGCCAGCCGGGTGCTCTAGGATCAAGGACGTGAAAAATTACTAAAAGCGTGAAGGGGAAGTGATTGGTTCGTTTGAACCCATTTGGGTTTTTTAACTGGCGCTTATGGAGGGTTTTTTTTTAAAGATTTTATTTATTTGACAGAAGGAGACCTAGTGAGAGAGGGGAACACAAGCAGGGGGAGTGGGAAAGGGAGAAGCAGGCTTCCCACCAACCAGGGAGCCCCATGCAGGGCTGGATCCCAGGACCCTGAAGTCATGACCTGAGCTGAAAGCAGACAGACGTCTGAGCAACCCAGGCGCCACAATACCCACCTGTTTTTAAATTATTTTATACATAGTAAAAAAATTGAAACTCCACACCCTTTATCCAGAGGCAACAGTGTAAACAATTTAGTGTTTATTCTTCCAAACTAGATTTGTTTATTTATAAATAAATAAATATATACACGCCTTTTTATTTGTAAAATGAGATTATGCAAATGAATGCTATAGCCTTTCAAAAATTTGACGATCTGTTGTGTAGTCCTTTTTCTTTTTTAAAACTCTAGGCCCAATGTGGGGCTTGCACTCATGACCTGAGATCAAGTATCACATGTTCTACTGACTAAGCCAGTACTGACTAAAATATTCTTTTATTTATTTTATTTATTTTTTAATTTTTAAGATCTTATTTATTTGTCAGAGAGAGTATGCACACACAAGCAGGGGGACCAGCGGGCAGAGGAGGCAGAGCAGGTGGTGGGAGAATCAGGCTCCCCGCTGAGCAAGGAGCCAGATGTGGGGCTCCATCCCAGGCCCCTGGGATCATGATCTGAGCTGAAGGCAGATGCTTAACCAACTGAGGGTTTTCCTCTTTAAACCTAAGTTTGCTCATTGGTATTCTAACTGGTCAAGAGAATTATTTTAGGGGCGCCTGGATGGCTCAGTGGGTTAAGCCTCTGCCTATGGCTGGTCATGGTCTCAGGGTCCTGGGATCAAGGCCCAAATCAGGCTCTCTGCTCAGCAGGGAGCCTGCTTCCCTCTGTGTCTCTGCCTGCCTCTCTGCCTGCTTGTGATCTCTCTGTCAAATAAATAAATAAAATCTTTAAAAAAAAAGAATTATTTTAAATGAGTATCAAGGGTGAGCCCAAATGTCCATCAACTGATGAGCAGATAAGATGTGGAATGGAATATTGTTCAGCCATAAAAAAGAATGAAATCTTGCCATGTGCAGTAACGCGGATGGAGGTAGAGACTATTGTGCTAAGCATAATAAGTCAGAGAAAGACAATCGTATGATCTTATACGTGGAATTTAAGAAACAAAACAGAAGAACATAGAGGGAAGAGGGAGCAAACCAGAAAACACTCTTCAGCTATAGAGAAAAAGAAGGTTGCTGGAGAGGAGGTGGGGCGGGGGGTGGATTAAATGGGCGATGGGTAGAGGATACTTGGGTGTCATGTGTAAGTGATGAATCACTAAACTATATACCTGAAAATAATATACTGTATGTTAACTCACTGGAATTTAAATAAAAATTTGAAGCTAGGAAAAAATGAGTATGAAGATTTGTGTGATGGCAAATATTTGAAGTAGGTTTAGTTGGGAAACTAGAAGATTATGAAATCTAGAGGGGAGGGAGTTCTGGCCACAGGTCTAATGCCTAGTAATGTAATAGGCAGTGATCTGGGTAAATGAGTAAATAGCAGATTTGTACAGGTACAAAAATAGAACTTGAGACGCATTGTTAATGTGTTTCCAGTTACCCTAAAGTGCCCTCCCTAACATGTAATAATTCTTAAAATTGAGAATGTAATACTAGTATTATGGAACTAGGTTACCACCTCAAGGAAGCTAAAGAGGAGTAATGGTTGGCTGTGCTCTGTATTGAAATCAGTAACTGGCCTCATTAGGATAATGATGTGTAATTATTTAATAGCACATCCGGATCAGGTTCTTTGATATTAGAAACTGTCTCCCCAGACTGAGCTAAGTTTTAGTGTTTTATGAACTCTACTGTGCCTTGATAGATCAGTCTAGATAGAGATAAAGCTGTGGGATATGAGGCCTCTGGATTCATGCAAGGACAAAAACTTGCTGTTAGTCTCAAGATAAAATGAACATTTAGACACTGTCCTTTGAAGGAATATTTTCAGCTGACATTTGTGCTTCTCACAAATAGAGTTTGAAACAGCTGAGACACTGCTAAATTCAGAGGTTCATATGCTTCTGGAGCATCGAAAGCAACAGAATGAGAGTGCAGAGGATGAACAGGAGCTTTCTGAGGTCTTCATGAAAACCTTAAATTACACAGCCCGTTTCAGTCGTTTCAAAAACAGAGAGACCATTGCCAGTGTCCGTAGGTGAGTGATAAAGTTTTTGTTAATCCAAACTGTTGGACATCTACATGTAAAATGCTTTTGCCTCCACCACTGCCATCCCATGGACATCATCTGTACCATTAATTTAAGAAAAATAAGGTCTTTGTCAGAAATTTGAAAATTGCTTGTAAGACCAAAATTTTCTTTGGCCACTTTTCCCTAAACCTGAAATCCCAGTGATCATTCTGCACAGTAACCACTGTTAGTTTATTCTTAGTCTTCCAGATCTTTTCCATGCATTCACATACATATGTTAAACCTATAAGAAACACAGCAGTGTTTGTGGGTTGTTGTTGTTGTTTTTAATAAAGTGGGGTAATTTATTACTCACCTGGAATGTCTCCAAGACCTCTATATGTTAATAAATATAAATCAGGAGCATTCTTTCTGAATCTTTGCTCTGCCTCCCAGACAGCGGCTTTTAACATTTTTTCCTAAGGCATTGCTTCTCAAATTGGGTCAGATGTAACTTGGAAAACTGATGTGCTAAGGCATATAGGAGACCATGGGAGAAACCTATCTTCTTCAGATACCAGTTTTATTTGATGGTAGGTGATTTAAAACATTTCTACATTAAATTAGATACCAGCATATTGTGGAATAAAACAAAAACATATGTGAATTCTTGAATTAAATTACAAAACTTAAAACCTTGCAGATGCAGAAAGTCACTTGAGCCTGTGACTGCAGGTTGCCTAGGGATACTTGTTTACTCTGCTCTAGTGAAAATGCTTGAGAATTATTGTCCTTAGGAATAGCAGGTATACAAAGAAAATGTATATACACAGATACTTTTTAGAGAGCTGTTTATCATAGCCAAGGTGGGGGGGAACCCAAAACATTCAGTAGTAACTAAATAAATCGTGGGAACTAATCTGTTGGGCTAATCTATTGTCATTCAAATTGTAGAAAATGGAAGTGTTCACATGTTAAGTGTACAGAAAATGAAGGTGTGAGATTGTATATGAAGTATGTATATAACCTTTCTAAAAAGCAAGTGTGTGTGAGAAAAGATGGAGAAAAGATTAGAAAAGATAAGAGGGGGGGCGCCTGGGTGGCTCAGTGGGTTAAGCCGCTGCCTTCGGCTCGGGTCATGATCTCAGGGTCCTGGGATCGAGCCCCGCATCGGGCTCTCTGCTCAGCGGTGAGCCTGCTTCCTCCTCTCTCTCTGCCTGCCTCTCTGCCTGCTTGTGATCTCTCTCTGTCAAATAAATAAATTAAAAAAAAAAAAAAAAAAATCTAAAAAAAAAAAAAAAAAAAAAAAAGAAAAGATAAGAGGGAAATGTGCAGAGCTTCCAAGCAAAACTACAAGCTGTTGGGTCTAGCAGATGACCTGGACACATTCATGAATAAAAGGTTTCAGTATTGTAAACATGTTGGTTCTCCCCAAATTAATGTATACATTTAGTGCCATTCTGCAGCCTCAGGGGAATGGAAAAGGTGGCTAATATAATGATCTTAATTTTTTTTTTTTTTTAGTTTTTTTTTTTTTTTTTTTAAGATTTTATTTATTTATTTGACAGAGATCACAAGTAGGCAGAGAGGCAGGCAGAGAGAGGGAGGAGGAAGCAGGCTTCCTGCTGAGCAGAGAGCCGGATGCTGAGCTCAGTCCCAGGACCGAGGAGGAGGGGACCGAAGGAGAAATATTTTAAAACAAAGTTCAGGGGTGCCTGGGTGGCTCAGTGGGTTAAATCCTCTGCCTTTGGCTCAGGTCATGATCCCAGGGTCCTGGGATTAAGCCCCACAGTCAGGCTCTCTGCTCAGCAGGGAGCCTGCTTCCCCCTCTTTCTGTCTGCCTCTTTGCCTACTTGTGATTTCTCTCTGTCAAATAAATTAAAAAAAAAAAACAACAACAACAAAGTTTAGGGGGTAGGGATAGGGTGGCTGGGTTATGGACATTGGGAAGGGTATGTGCTTCGGTAAGTGCTGTGAAATGTGTAAGCCTGATGATTCACAGACCTGTACCCCTGGGTCAAATAATACTTTATGTTAATAATAATAATAAAAAAAAAGTTTAAGCACTATACCTTATACCAAACTTGATTCCTAAGGATTTGAATATAAACCATGGTGAATAAAAGTGCTGTGTGGTAATATGAGTAAATGAATGCATTATTTTGGCTATGGTTAGTAAGACTTTAAATGTGGGGGAACTTGGTTGTATTCATCACTGTGTTAATCTCATTGTAGGCACTAAATAGTGAATAAATGAATTTGCATAAATATCTTTAAACTTTGTTACATAAATTAAATGCCATATGCAAAGTGCAAGTATAAATAATTGGGGAAAGGACTGATATCCTTAAGTTTTTTATGTCCTTAATATTAAAAGCTCCAACAAAGAATTAATAAAAGGTAACACTGGTTTTTAAAAATGGACACAGTCTGCAGTTAGAGGCTCAATTTGAATGAGAACTTAAGATGGCTAGCAAATTCTCTTGAAATAATGCTCATCTTCAAAAAAAAAAATGCTCATCTTCAAGGAAATTGAAATGGTAAAAGAGCTAAGTAGATTTGAAAAGATTAAACAGAATGGGACACCTACATGTAGTAAGTAGGGGAAATGGGGAAACAGGATTTATTGCTGATGTAAGTGTGTACTGATGAAGCACTTTTAGGGTACTATCTCTTGGGACTCCTGTGCTTCGACTGGATAATTAGCTTCCAGGAATTTATCTTTAAAATGCATAGTGAGGGGCACCTAGGTGGCTCAGTGGGTTAAAGGCTCTGCCTTCGGCTTGGGTCATCATCCTGGAGTCCTGGGATCGAGCCCCGCATCGGGCTCTCTGCTCAGCGGGGAGCCTGCTTCCTCCTCTCTCTCTCTCTCTCTCTGCCTGTCTCTCTGCCTACTTGTGATCTCTGTCTGTCAAATAAATAAATAAATAAAATCTTTAAAAAAATAAATAAATAAAATGGTGAATTGAAGGGACACCTGGGTGGCTCTGTCAGTTGAGCATCGGACTCTTGCTTTAGATTCAGATCATGTTCTCAAGGTCATGAGAATGCGCCCCACGTTGGCCTCTGTGCTCAACAGGGAGTTGGCTTGAAATTCTCTGCCTCTCTCCACTTGCTCATTGTCTCTGAAATAAATTTTAAAAGAGGGAAAAGACTTGATTAAAAAAAAAAAGATAAAAAATAAAAGGGTGAATAATTGGAAACAATTGAAATGTTCAACAGCTGGAAATTTGACATATAAATTATAGCACAATCATTCAACAGAATGCTGTGTTCAAGGTGGAGTTATGTGTAGTACTAATGTGGGAAACAGCTAGTGTTATTGAGTGAAAAAAAATCACAGATAACATTTGTTACAATTCCTTTTTTGTTTTTTTAATTACACTCTTTCTCAAAAAAATTTTTTTTTCTTTCTTTTATAATATAAAGAGGAATGGTAGAGGATCTCCATGAAAGTGTTAACACTAGTTATTTCTGGGTAGGGTTTCAGGTTATTTTCACCTTTTGGGGATTTCTTTGTATTGTTTATAAATGAGAATATATTCATTTTACAACAAAACCCTCCACACAGATACATATAGTACTTTGTAAACCTTTTCCCGTGTAACTAAGTTTATAGTATTTTCCTTAGTAAATGAATATAGCTTTACTAAGTGGCAGAAGGTTATGAAACTGAATGTGTGAATTTTTATTCTAAAACATAAGTTTTTGGAACAGTACACTAAGATAATTACTTGATTTTGTGTAGGTAGTGATATGGAAAGCTTATTTTTCTGTCCTATATTTTTGAAATTTTGTATACCTAATATGCTTGTAATAGAATAATAAACACAGTAAATGTTTTGTTTCTGAACAGATAATTAAGGTCTTCTCTGAAACCAGATTTATCATGGATGACCTCTACTTTTTTTAAAAGGTTTTATTTATTTGAGAGAGAGAGAGAGAAGCAGACTCCCCACTGAGCAGAGAGCCTGATGTGGGACTTGATCCCAAGGACTCTGAAATTATGACCTGAGCCAGAGGCAAATGCTTAACGGACTGAGCCACCCAGGTGCCCGGGATGAGCTCTGTTTTAAGAGCTAAATGTGTAAGAAGCCAGGATAGGATTTGACAATGTTTTATACAATTTGAACTAGAATTGCATTTAAAATAAGACACAGTTTATACATATTTGTACAACATAAGGTATGCCTATATTTATTTTTTAGATTTGTTTTGTTTTTGTTCTGTTGTAGGTAAGTTAAAAAAGAATTTCCTCCAAGTCAGAAATACACAAACATTATGTGTTTGACATAAAATTAATGACGAAAGAAGCAAGGCAGAGTGATAAGAGCAGAGAATAGCAAAATAAATTCTTGGGGGGAAGGGTTGTATAGTCTGTAAGGTATATAATGGCTTTTCAAAGTTATACTAGCAAGGGGTTCTCAGGCCTGATGTGCTCTGCTCACTTTTGTTGTCTGCCTGATTTCATTTTAACTTCCTATTCTCCAGGCATAGGAACAGGAAGTGATTTGAAAGTGGGATTTTGCAGCCAAGCTAACCATATAGAAAGATTGCAGGTGCTTTACTTTTTTCTTACTTGCTAAGTACCTTTGATTCTCTTTTTCCAACTCACCAGTCTTTGATTTTTTGTTGTTGTTGTTTGTTTTGATTTTCTTCCGCATGGTCAGCTTGTTGCTCCAGAAGAAGCTTCATAAGTTTGAGTTGGCCTGTTTGGCCAACCTTTGCCCAGAGACTGCTGAGGAGTCAAAGGCGCTGATTCCAAGGTTAGTACTATCACTGTGCTAAGTTCTTTATATTACTTTCCTACAAGTAGAATTACTGTTTGTAAAAGGTGTGTGCATTTAAAATTGGGGCATATAGCACCAACATTGAATGGAGTGCCTTCTTTAACAGGGTGTGAACATAATGGTTTTATAGCACACCAACTGTTAGCAAAAATGTGGAACAGCTGAATTTCTCACACTGGTGGTAGGAGTGCAAATTAGTATAGTCACTTTGGAGAGCAATTTAGCTACATCTACTAGAGTTAAAGATGATTATACCCTGTAACCCGAAAATCCATTCTTGGGTACTTGCCTAAAAGCAACTCATGCAGTTCCATAAGAAGACATGTATCCTAATGTTCATTACTGCAGTGCTAGTGATAACAGAAACTTGACAGTCTGTCAGTAAACAAGAGGGTGGACAAATAAATCATTTATGTAGCAGTGAAGAAATTAATGAACTGGAGCAACATGGAATAATAACAGATACCAAGGGACACCTGGGTGGCTCAGTCCGTTAATAAGCGTTTGCCTTCAGCTCAGGTCGTAAGCCCAGAGTCCTGGGATCAAGTCCCACATTGGGCTCCTTGCTCAGTGGGGAGCCTGCTTCTCCCTCTGCCTGCTGCTCCCCTGCTTGTGCTCTCTATCTGACAAATAAATAAAATCTTAAAAACAAAAACAAATACCAAAATCAATTTGGAGTGAAAAAAAATTTCAGAAGGATATATGTAGTATGATGCCATTTCCTATAAAGTTTAAAAACATTGCTGTGTATGGCTTATAGATACATTTATGTATGTATATAGTAAGCATAAAAATATGATTAGGAATGATAAATACAAATTTAGGATAATGGTTAATTCTGGGGAAGGTATTGCGATAGGGGAGCATACACAGAGCCATTAACTTGTTCCTGTTGTGTTTGTTAAAGAAATTTAAATCAGGTAGAGGTAATGTTAACTTATTGTCTACACTTTCTTAAATCTCTGAAACACTTCGTATGTTTTTAAAAGGAACGGCAAAAATACAGCTGAAGGGTAAAGGTGTATGTTTAGAGGAGAAGTAGACAAGTGGTGCTCAAAGATTAGTGTGCTAAAAAAGAATATGTTGTCCCTCGCTGAGACACTCATTTGTTTTGGTTTTCTTCTTGTAGCCTGGAGGGTCGGTTTGAAGATGAAGAGTTACAGCAGATTCTTGATGATATCCAGACCAAGCGTAGCTTTCAATATTAATCTCCAAATACCACTCTGCTGCTGAAGGAACTACATCTCAAGCCCAGCACCACTGTCCTGGTGTCTGGAGCTAACTTACACAGAAATTCCATTGTGGAAGACACTTGGGCTGTCTTTGGCTAGAACAACCCAGCTTAGTCTTGGTTTAGGTTGCTATTTCAGACTTGACTATTGAACCATGGTAACCTGACCTTGCCTCTGGGAAGGGTGAGGTGGGGTGATGCGCATATAAGCTACACTATTGACTACCTCATGCCATGGTTTTGGCCCCTGTGTTTTAAAGTTTGTTTTAAGATTTTACTTTTTTAAGTAATCTCTACCCCCAATGTGGGGCTTGAACTTAAACTACCCCAAGATCAAGAGTGGTGTGCTCCACTGATTGAGCCAGCCAAGCACCCCTTTTTTAAGATTTTATTTTTTTAGCCCACGTTATTTTTGATTCCTAAGATTTCATGTTTTAATTTCAATTTGTTTGTAGTTTTTGAAACTACAGGAAACGACAGTCTTATCTAAATGCAAAAGGAAGAATTAAGGGGCATTGGCTGACTCAATTGGTAGAGCATGCGACTCTCAATCTCAGCGTGAGAGTTCAAGCCCCACATTGGGCATGGAGCCTAGAAGCAAAAACAAGCAAAAAAACCCTGAATATAAATGCAAAAGGAAGAATTAAACCAGCCCTGTACCATCATCTGAAATCCTTACAGAAAAGATGATATGCTAATGACTGAAACAGCATTGGCATCATAGTGCTTAACCCAGAAGTCAAGGAAGAAGCTTACCATGGGAAGCAGTTACACCCAGGATAACTGTCAAGCATGGAGGGCTCTAACATAACCTTGAGGTAGATCAGTACTTGACCTTTTTTCTTAGACTGTTGAAGAATGTAGATTCGGAGGCAGTGGTCCTAAAGTACTATTTCTCACTCCTAAATTAAGAATTTTTTTGCCTTCAGTGGCCAGACTTGAAGGTCTGAACACTTTGAAGACTCCTTGGATGGGGCATCCAGTCCAAACCTTTTTCTTACTACTTAGTGGCAGGTGATCTCTGATGGGGGTGATTGTCTATTTTCATAGGAAGGAAAGCGGAGAGTGTGCACAAAGAAAGCATGCACATAAGCTAGTAGATTTGGTCATGTGAAGACAAGTGTCACTAAATTCACTAAACTACAGATACTCCCCAGGAACCACATGGTTGGAGCAGGGAGGAGGTGGGGGTGATGTTCCCAGATGAGGGAAGAGGGTCATGGCAGGTAGAAACAAAAACACCCCACCAAATAGATCAGGTACCATAAAAATGTCCATACTCTGACCTAGTGATTCTATTTCTGGAAACTGTATACCAAATATCAGAACACAGAGGAAGCTCTATATGTCAAGAGCTGATTCTTTTTCCAATAGAGAAATAGTATGGTATGTTATGGTTACTTGTCCATGGACTATTTCTCACCTATTTAACAGGTGAACTTTTTCAGAAGCTAAATGGCTTACAGCAAAATACTTGGATACTGAATCCATGGACATTGAGGACATTCTGCTACATGAAATGTGAGACAAATACCATATAATCTCACTTATATGTGGAATCTAAAAAACCCAAACTCAAAAGAAACAACAGATTGGTGGTTGTCAAAGGATGAAGGGAGGGGTGTGAAATGGGTAAAGGTGGTCAAAAGGTACAGACTCCTAGTTATAAGATAAGGCATGGGGACATAATACACAGCATGGTGACCATAGTTAATAATACTGTATTGTAGGGATGCCTGGTGACTCAGTTGATTAAGTATCTGGTTCTTGGTTTTAGCTCAGATCATCTCCTGGGTCATGGGACCAAGCCCTTGTTGGACTCTGCACTCAGCAGGGAGTCTGCTTGAAGATTCTTTGCCTCCACACCCCACCTTCACGTGCCCTCTCTCTTCTCTCTAAAATAAATAAATCATTAAAAAAGTACTGTATTATATATTTGAAAGTTGCTTAGATCTTAAAAGTTACCATCACTGGAAGAAATTCTAAATATGTGAGGTCAGGGTGGCTAAACTGTGATAATTTCACTATATATGTATATATATATGTACATAGACATATATATAATCTTTTCACTGTAATATATAATCAATACAATGTTCTATGTCAGTTACTTCAATAAGGCTGGAAAAATATATAAAACTTTTTAAAAAAAATTTGATTTGGGGGCCCCTAGTTGTTTCAGGCAGAAGAGCATGTGACTCCTGATCTTGGGTTGTGGGCTGGAGCTCCCTTCATGTTGGGTGGGGATTTGTGCTTTTTTTTTTAAGCAGTTTTTTGTTTTGTTTTAAAATTTATTTATTTATTTATTTGACAGACGGAGATCACAAGTAGGCAGAGAGGCAAGCAGAGAGAGAGGAGGAAGCAGGCTTCCTGTTGAGCAGAGAGCCTGATTCGGGGCTCGATCCCAGGGTCCTGGGTTCACGACCCAAGCCACAGGCAGAGGCTTTAACCCACTGAGCCACCCAGGTTCCCCAACATTTGTGTTTCTAAAAGGGACCTCCGAGAACTGAACTTGCCTTCTCATCCAGGTCAGTTTTCCTCACCTTAGACATGAGAGTGCTAAGGGCTCAGCCCCCCTTCCCCTTAGGGACTTGGGAGCTGTGGATCTCAGGCCTGCTGGCCTCTTGCTGGGCCTGCACTCACCTGGATAGATGGGCAAAGGACCTCAGCTACCTCCACTCATACCCAGTCCGCCTTTGGGCTCTCTGAACAGTACAAATTGACCAGAAGCCAAAGGAGAGAGAATAAGCCCCAATAAAACCTTCCAGGCAAGGCTTCACTGGGGCTTATGCTCTTGCACAAAGGAGACAACAGAAGGAATGAGTCCTCAGGCTGGCTCCCAGAGAAAAGGTTACCCAGAGAGCTTTAGAGAGACTCCAGGCAGCAAAAGAGTGGCAGTAGGGGCAGGAATTGTTCCCCTGCCCCACACTTGCACATTTAAATAAAGGTCATGCTATACGTGCTGCCCACGTCTAATTAGCATATTACGTCTCCGCCCCCGGGCGCGAATTTTAGTATTACAATGAGAGACAAAGTCTGAAAGGTGGGGATTGGCATCCATCTTAGAGCTGATCGGTTTGGTCCAGCCCTCCAGCGGGCTTCCCTCTTAGGGGAATAGCCTACTTCTCACCTGTGAGCTCTTTTACTCGGGGCAGCTCAGCTTCTCTTTCTACAGACCCAGCTGAAGAAGGCTGGATTTTGTGGTTAGGGGTGAGGGGAAATGAGTCCAGTCCCTGCCCTGTCTCACAAGGCCCCTGAGAAGGCGCCAGCAGTTTCAGGGCCTCCTCTTCTGGTGCCAACGTGCTGTTGTCCCTCTTAGTCCCTCACATCCCCTGTACCCCGAACTCGCAGCTGGGGAAACCTCTGCTCTGCATCTGGTATCATGAATTTTCTTTATTTGCATTTCAGGATCTGATGAAGATGCTGGCAGTTCTATGCCTCTGTAAAGTGGAGAAACAAAATCGTTAGCCCTATGTCCTGTTCTTGGTGGATAAAATGGGCTGGTTTAAATAATCATAATCAGGGGTGCCTGGGTGGCTCAGACGATAAGCGTCTGCCTTCATCTCAGGTCATGATCCCAGGGTCCAGGGATCCAGCCCCACTTTCCTGCTCAGCCGAAAGCCTGTTTCTCCCTCTCCCACTCCCCCTGCTTGTGTTTCCTCTCTTTCAAGTAAATAAATCTTTTTTAAAAATAAAAAAAAATCATAATCATACCTTGTTTCGTTATGTAAGGTTCCACAGAGGCTGGGCTCCTGGGTGGCTCAGTGGGTTAATAGTCTGCTTTCAGTTCAGGTCATGATCCTGGTCATGATTTTCAGCTCAGGTCATGATGTAGCATCTAGTCCTGCATCAGGCTCAGAGCCTGCTTCTCCCTTGTCCCAACCCTCCCCGCAACTTGTGCGCACTCCTTCTGTCTCTCTCTCTCAAAAATAAATTAAAAAAAATATTTTTTTTTTAAAGATTGCACAGGGGTAGTCCTTAGCAAAACTGGAATTCTAACTAGGCTCTAATCAGACCTCCTCAGAAACTTGCTTCTGCAAGTTTCTAATTTTCAATGAGCAGGGGTGTTTTGTTTTAAGATTTTATTTACTTATTTGAGGGAGGAAGGTCAGAGAGAGGGAGCAGAGAGAATCCCTAGAGACTCCACCCTGAGCAGGATGTGGGGCTCGATCTCACCACCCTGAGATCATGACCTGAGCTGAAATCAAGGGTCTAATGCTTAACTGACTGAGCCACCCAGGCACTCCTCCATGAGCAGAGGTAGTTTTCAAAATATTTAGCAACTTGGGGGCCACTGACTTATGTGCAGTTAGACAGTAAGTCTCTAATTGCCAGATCAGGGTAAGGTCCTGGGGAGGTGGGAGTGGTTAGAGCTTATTTAGGAAAGTATTTCAGTATTTTTGTAACTGGGATGACCCTGGGGTACTAACCAGCTGAATCTCCTCTTTTCTTTGAATCTTTCTCACACATGTACACACAAGGGTCTTGTAACTCCAGGTTTATTTGCATTCAAAATAGAGAAGGAGCCAGGACAGGCTGCCTTTGAGCCCAGTTGTTTGTGGCTAGGCACTGTTAAGTGTTTTATATATCTTATTGAAACTTCACACACTTAAGAGAATTTTTAAAACATTCTAAGGCCCTTATTCACTCTAATACTCTTACAACATTCTCAACATCAGGTCATTTATTCAACACGTTTTACTGAGTGCCCACCATATTAGGTTGGGGTTAAAGGAGAGCAAGATAAGAAGGTTCCAGATCTCTTGGTGCCTACATTCTGGGGGGAGGAGACAGACAAGAAAAAAAAAAAACAAAAAACAAAACAAAAAAAAACAGCTAAGTAGATTACCCTGGGAACAAGTATGATATTAGATACAGTGCTCGGGGACGGCGTTTTTGAGAAGATGCTATTTGAACTGTCAAGGATAGGAAAATATGGGAGGGTGGGGATGAGAGTTCCAGATCAGGAGAGAATGCTAAGCACAAAAGCATGAATGGGGTAGGGGAATGGGTGCAGAGATAACAAGCCAAAATGGCTGGAGCTTTGTAAATCAGGGAAAAACTATTAGGAGCTGAGATTGCAGATGTAAGCAGACCTGTATTATGGAAACAGGGTTTTGGATTTTATACTCTGCACGTTGGGAAGCTATTTGGAGATTTTAGGTAAGAAAGAAGATCTGATTTTTGTTTTTTGGTTTTTTTTTTTAAGATTTTATTTATTTGACAGATCACAAGTAGGCAGAGAGGCAGGCAAAGAGTGGGGGGGAAGCAGGCTCCCTGCTGAGCAGAGACCCCCCCCCCCAGTGGGCTGGATCCCAGGACCCTGAGATCACGACCTGAGCCGAAGGCAGAGGCTTTAACCCACTGAGCCACCCGGGCGCCCCTGATTTTTGTTTTAAACAGGTCATTCTGGCTGCAGTGTAGAAAACTGGAGCTAGGTGGGAGGGGAAACTGAGATGAAAAAGGGAAGTGGGGAGAACAGTTAGGTGATTGCAAAAGTTCACACAAACATGGCTTGGACTAGAGCGAGGGCCAACAAACTTCCGGTAGAGAGAGTA